TCAAGCAATTATATTATCAATTGATTATTAACAGAAAGAATGGATGTCTCTTCTTTTTGGCTCTTTGATATTAACATTGAGTTGTATTTGACTGGAATTTTGTTGCTTCTTCATGTTGACTTTCCATTACATTAATAGGCGCAGTGGATAGAGCACCAGCCCTGTAGTCAGGAGGACCTGAGTTCAAATCCGGCCTTAGACACATAACACTTACTAGCTATGTGACCCTAGGCAAGTCACTTAACCCCATTGCCTAGCAAAAGAAAAAGAGAGGGAGAGAGAGAGAGAGAGAGAAAGAAAGAAACTGCTATCTATTACATTAATAGGTCATAATTTGTTGGTCCATTTCTCCAATCATAAGGTCACATATTTAGACTTAGATTAGATGACCTCTAAGGTTCCCTTTAAGGGGATCTTAGAGGTCATCTACTTTACTCCCCCCGTCCCCCCCTTTTTTTTTTAAACAGGTGAAGAAACAAGACCCACAAAAGAATTTTCTCATATGGGTTGTAAGTAGCAGAGATTAGATATAAACGCAGGTCTTCTGACTCCAAATCTAGCACTCTTGAAACTGTACCATATTGCTGGGTACATTTTTTTCCTAGATTTTTGTCATCACAAATAATGCCACTCAATATTTTTGGTACATATAGGTCTTTTGTTAATGTCAGTGACCTCCTTGGGGTATAATACTAGTGGTGTAATCTCTGGGTCAAGGGGTAGGAACAGTTTAGGAACTTTTCCTTCATTATTCCAAATTGTTTCTTGAAATGGTTGGACCATTTTGCACCTTTACCAGCAGAAAACTGTCATTCTTGACTTACCATAACCCTTCAATATGCTAACACTTTTACATTATCATGGTTTTCTAATGTATTAAGAGTTATCTTGTATGAATATGATTAGATTTGTTATCTTTGGTCCTGAAAAAAAGCAGAAGTAAGACTAGTGAGTGGAAGCTATAACAAGACAGATTTTTGGCTCTAGTTAAGGAAAACCTTTTATCAGCTAAAGACAGTCCAATAAATATTAATTAAGTCTCCCTGTGCCAGGATACAAAGAAAGGCAAAAGATGTCCCTGCTCTCAAGGAGATATATAAAGGTGGAGATAGTGGCAGCAGGGCCATCTGGTAAATTTGAGTTGAGGAGTGGAGAGCTTCATGTGGCTTCAGTTCTTTAGAAGAAATATGAGGCAAGATTTTCAGCTGAAAAGATGAGAGGGAAGAAATCTATGGGAAATTTGAGATGGAATGAAAAGGTTTTGAAAAGCCCCTGTGGTGAGTGGAATAGGTCATCATAAGGAAGGCAAAGGAAGAGGTGGTATGAAACTAGAGAGCTGTCCAAGAAGGGAGCAAGCTTCTTGGAGAGCTGATGAGTTATCATCAGTATGGATGATCACTTGTTGAAGATGTCATCCTGGGAGGAATTTGTGCTTCAGGAACAAGCTGGACTAGCCTCAGAAATTCCTTTAAATTGTAAGACTCTATAGATTTTATGGGGAAGGTTGTCCCTTGTCATGTCAGTTTATGCTCTTGTAAAGGAAATCTCAGGCCAACAAAAAGAACTCTCAAGGTAGAGACAACTTGCACAGAGTAGAGTCCACATCCATAGTAGCTGTATATCTGGTACTCTTCCCTCTCACTGAGGATTTTTTTACCGAAGAGAATACTATTAAGTGTAGTTAAATCTTAAATTTCACTATCTTAAGTCATGATGGCTTGTGGCTCTCAAATAAAACCGTGAGAAACATAAAACTGATGGGGCTACAGAGCTATCAGATCTCTTTAGGGAAACTGACCTTACGCTGAGGCGCAGGAATCATTAAGCCAATACCATACTATGCTTGTGTTCTCAGTCTAATAACTCCTGCTGCATCGGCTATTTGACCTGCATGCTAATGGCACCATTGAAAAGTGTCAAAGTACAAGGTTCAGGTTCTCATTCACATATGAACTTAGGATGAACTGTAGTGAAAATCCAAAGTTAGGGCCCTTTTCCAGACTGAGTTCAAAGGAAATTGTTCACCAGCCACTTAATACTAGACTTGGCATTTAAACTGTGCCTTTTCTCAGTTGAAGTTACTTAAAGCTGGTTAGAGATTAAACCAAAGTTTATGACCCTTGCAATTCAAATTAGCCTTAGTTTTCCTCCAAGAAACAATGCCCATCTCTTTTCTAAGCTTTCTCCTGTCAGACAACCAGTAGCCATGTTTTTGGGAGATAGTGAGGCCTCCATATTACAGATTTTATCAATTACATATAAGGTTCCTAGTAAGTACTTGCTAAATTAACTGCATCAGGAGTTTTGTCTTTTTTTTTAAATTCTGTTACAAAAACCAACTCATGACTGATTTCCTCTGATTCATTCATTAATGTTTTAAAAACATTTCTTACCAAAGGGCCTAGGATCAAAACTTGGAAATATCATGATAACATCAAAGATCTAGACTAGAAGTGACATCAAGAGTCCAACCTCCTCATTTTACAGAAAACTAATTGAGGCCCAGAAAGATGAAGTCAGTTGCCTAAAGTTACACAAGTAGTTGTATCACAGAGGGCAATGAGAATTCCATACATGGCCTCAAACTAAGCTTCCTAGCTAGCGCCCCCCCTCCCCACTCATCCTTATCACACCATTTCCACCATTAGCATTACCATTGGTTCATCCATAATTTAATTTTTATAGTACTTTTTTAACTCATATCAGTAGTTTCAGAACTACTGAGGAATATCTTTCATATTTCTTCCCTTCTGTCTGTTACTACTGATACCATCTTAGTAGAGGTTCCATGACACTGTTAGCAGGCACTCCTGATAGAAGAGAGGTTATATTTATTTTGCTTGCTTCCAGAGGGCAGAACTAAGAACTGTGGTTGAAATTTGCAGAGACAGACTCCCATTCAAACTAAGAAAATCTTCCTTATAATTAGTACTGTCAGGGCAGCTAGGTGGCACAGTGGATAGAGCACCGGCCCTGAAGTCATGAGGATCTGAGTTCAAATGTGACCTCAGACCAAACACTTGACACTTACTAGCTGTGTGACCCTGGGGAAGTCACTTAACCCCAATTGCCTTTAAAAAAAAAAGATAATTAGTACTGTCCAAAAGTAGAATGGGCTACCTCCAAAGGTAGGGAGTGAGCTCCCCAGCACCATAGCTCTTCATGTTGTAGAGGGAATTCTTGCCCAGGTAGGTGTTGGACTAGATGACTATATAAATGTTAGTCTTTATCATCTTTATCTTTTTAACTTTGAGGTTCTGTGGTTCTTCATGTCTGCCACCCAAAATGCTGTGGAGATAAGTTTGATTTAATCAAGCATTGATTAAAATTTAAGCTTCAAAAGAAATTGGTTAAGGATTCACTTTTGTGTGAAATAAAAGCATTTCCTGCGGATGTGATGTGAGGACAGTCTGTCCTTATTAGCAACATCTGGTCTTTTGATTGAATATTTTGTATTTAAGGATTTTTATCTTCTAAAGAATTCAAAATTCTTTGACATATATTGTCTTCAGAGCATCCTTAAGAAAGCAGTTATTGCCTAGTTTTGGAGACAAAAACATGGAGATCCGGAAGGACAGGATTGTTTTTAGGGAAAAGGTTCTTATTTCACTTTTTCACTCAGTACGAATTGTGTTTGACTCTACCTGACATAATTATTTTCTTAAATTCTTAATTTACACATAAAAATGAACTTTATAATCTCAAAATTTGACATTGAATGGAAAGTATGTATAATTTTCTTTTGACCTTGCCCTCAGGTCTCAACAATTTGCTTACATTTAACCAATCTGTATTAAATACCTATTATGGTCAGGACATGGCATTACTCGAGGCTCTGGAGGAGCTACACAGATTAAATAAGGTACCTATCTGCCCTCTTAGAGTTTATAATTTAGAGGGGAGGATACAACACAAATTCAACTATAATATAAAAGAGAACAAGATAAGTGTTTGGCTTAGGTATATAAACCGAGTGCTATGTGCAGTCCAGTAGGGGAAGGGTGATGTACTGTATCAGGAAAGGCATCATTCTTGATAAAAGAGGCATTTGAGCTGATTTTTTGAGAAGGATTTCAACAAGCAAAGATGGGGGTTAGGGAGTAGGAAAGGTGACTTTCCAAGTGCGACATTAGCAAACACACAGTTTGGCTGGAACATCAAGTTGTGATGAGATGCCTGTAAAATAAGGTTGAAAAGGTAGAGTGGCATAAAATTCATGGAGGGGGGAGGTATGGCTACTAACTGAAGGAACTCGGTCTTTTTTTAGTAGGCTGTAGGGAACCATTGAGCAGAGTCATGATACAGTCAGATATCTATGCAAAGATAAAAGTGCCATTAGGCACCGATTCTAGGGTTTCAGGAAACTGCATTTTGTGTGAAGTATTCACTACAGCAAAGCTTGCTGGAGGTAATTACTATTACTCAGTTTTTTGAGGATTAATTTTTTCCTCTAATTTGGGAAGGGGAGAGTGGGCTAAAATAAAAACAGAGCAAGGAAGCAGCCTGTTATCTCATGTTATTCTTTCTATTGATATAAATATTGCCTAAGTAGCTCTATGTTGCTATAGGACCAAAGTTCTCGTTAATTTGCTATTAATTAAGGGGTAAGAGGACTCTTTGTAAATTTTTGCTTAGAGAACCAAAATTTCAGGCTGTGCCTTTGCTTGATGATGCCATCATTTTTGCTGTAAATTGTCCAGATATGACTGGAAACAAAATGGGAATGCTTGGGGAATCATTTACTTGTAGGGATTAGTATTTGCATGGGAATTGGTTTCCTTAATAAAGCAAAGTGCTGAGTTCACTGGAGTGTAGCATAATCAAATCTGGCTTCTTACTGCTTTTCAGAGTTGTTGATGGAAGAACATTTGGCAGGTGTTGCATGCTATATCCTGCAGTTGTTCAACTACATTTGGCATAGAAGTACATTTCAGAAGGTGAAAAGTGTGGTCAGGGTCAATGGGTTCTTACTCAACATGGTTTTCTTTCTGATTGGGTAGCCGGGAAGACTTCCAGCGGATTCCAGAGCTTGCCATCAACCCCCTGGGGGATCGAATCATCAATGCCTTCTTCCCTGAGGGGTGAGTTTTTCCTTAAGAGTCTGATTTTTCCTTACTAGATACTGCCTTAGCCAATGTGAAAGTATACAGTAAAATCTGAAATGGCTTTGTGGGCTAGAATTGCCCTCCAGTTCTGGATCTCTCCTCCTAAAATTGCTTTGTCTTAAGTGCAACGAAGCCCAGATTTGCTAGAATGAAACGAAGTATAACTTTGTCTCTAAGTTTTACAGGAGAAATCTTCAGAGGTGAGCTGTAAAAAGTAAATATATGCTGCACAATATATCATAACACAACCTCTAAAACACTGTTTCTTGATTGGTCTATTGTCTTTCCTGACCAGAGTCCTGTTCAGCATTTATCTCCGGTAGAGGCAGTATTTAGTGCCCTTTATAATAGTCAAACTGCTGTTTCTAAATTTTGTAGCTCTACTCACCCTTTTTCATGTAATCTAACTCTTCCTTTCCCCCTACACCAGGTATCCTGTGGCAAATTAGAAGTTTCTATCTATGTCAGTGGGTGGGAAATATTAGGAAGTATTGCCACAAGACTCCATGTTCCTGTGTCAATCCTCATCCCACTCAGTTATCTCAATACCCCTTCACTTGTCAATTGAAATATCTTTGATAGTGCCTGCTAGGATTCATCTAGGAAAATGACCCTAAACTCAAAATTATGGGTTTTTTTGGTTCCAGCAAGGCTTTCAAATTTCTTCTGTGCTTTTCACTTAATAGGTTAATATTAGGTGAATAAGTGAAATGCTCAATAAATATATGTTGATTATGAAACTTTTAAATCTTTAATGTGTGCCTAGTAGCTGGTAATTTGGCTGTATTTATATGAATAAAGACTATAATGTGACTTTATACTGAGCTGTCCCCTTACACAATCCCTTTCTGTCTCCATGTCCCAAGTGAAACTGGGACTAAGAACAAAAATTCAGTGAGAGCCAGTTCTCAATTGTGAAACCAATTCCACCCAGGACAGTAAGCACAGATGCCTAGTCTGGAAGTTTAGATATCTCAGACTGTCAACAAAGGAACTTTTTAGTTAGTGAGGAGAAAGAAGAATGGGAAAACTGGTAGCTATCTTGTTTAAACAGATACTGAATCTAAAGAAAAAGTTAAACACAGGAGGGTGGTTCATGCTGATAGTACTTTCCCTAAGCCTGAAACTTTACTACTTCTTCTTTACATACTAATCTAGTTCATTTCCAGGTTCAACCCCTGCACAAAATCTTTCCATGTCCTGACTTTTTTCTTTAGCTTCTACAGTATGTTAAAACTCCTGCAGAAATAACATTAAATGCTAGGTTTGCCCCGTATTCAGGCAGGTTTTCATTACATAAAGAAAAATCTAGTTAAACTACTCTTACCTGAACTTAGATTTTCATCCTTTGTAAGACTCTTCAGATATACTAGTAGGTATCTTGTAAAGAAATACTGAATCTAAAAAAAAGTTAAACACAAAAAGGCTGATTCATGCTGATAATATTTTCTGTAAACCTTAAGATTGTCTGCCAGCAGGCTATTTCTTCTCAATATTTTGCCAGGCCAAATCAGTATCTACTGTGAGTATGATATCATCTGTATTTATGTCCACTGACTTCCCATTTTCTTCAGCAAGGTAGAAATAGACTGTTAGTGAGCTCTTAGCCAAGCTACAGCTCACTCACTATCCCACGTTGCCCTAATCAGAATTAGATGTTAGGCTGCCAAGTTTTTCTTTTCTGGTCTTTTTGACTAAATATGAAAAATCAGATTTGGAAATGAGTTTTTAAAGATGGTTTCTTACCATATTCACTTCCTACATTTTGCTCTGGTATAACATGCCACCACCATCTACCAGTATCATCCTAGCAAAGTAATTCCGGTGTAAGTTTCTTCAATGCAGAAACTATTTCATTTTTGTCCTTATAATTGCAACATCTAATGCAGTTCCTGGCAAATAGTTCTTATTAAATGCTTATTGAATAAAAGAATGCAGTGTTGTTTCCCAGCCTCATGGCCACCAGTTCTTTTTTACCTTACTTAATATGTTGCAACTTTATTAATAGGATAACTCCTTTTTGAATAGCTGAAGGTCATTCTTTTGGCTGCATTGTAAAACAAAAAATGTATCAGCTTTTGTCTTTTCAAAACCCCCATTCCTTCCCTTGCTCATGCTGAACATCCTATCACCCAATATATCGCACATAACACGCCCAATATATCGCACATAACACACCCACTGTGGCCTGGAATTTACTTTTAGGTGCCTGTGGTAACTAGGCAACCTATCATTCCCATGACTGCTTTTGAGAGTCTAAATAGCTTTGTTAAATGTTTCTTTAGTCTTTAAAAAAAAAAAGGGGGACTTCTGGAGAATCATTTTCTTTAGAGTTACTGTTTGGTCTAGAGGCCTGCATCATAAAAACATTTTTTTTAAATTACTAAAAGAACTGATTAGATGTATATTAGTGCAGTAGCAACACAGACTGTAGAGATGTCAGTGTGTTGAAGTGATTGTCCTTAGTTATCACTAATTTAGTAGTAGGCTACTGAATCTTTAACTAAGTCCTTAATGAATGTGAATTCATTCACAACTGATTTATTTAATAAGCATTTTGTATATTATCCTGGATGAGCCTGACAACAATTTTGTGGGGCAAGTGTTGTTCCCATTTTATATATAATAAAAAAGAATTTCAGATAAATTAAATGACTTTGCCCGTGGTCACATGGTGTCAGCAATGGCCTTTGAACCTAGGTCTTCCTTAGTTCTAGTATTAACGACATAGAAAATAGTCCTGCTAATCAATATACACTGTTGTGTTTATTGTAACTCTTATTCAGAGAGGACCAGGTAAACTTCCGTGGATTCATGAGAACTTTAGCTCATTTCCGACCAATCGAAGATAATGAGAAAAGCAAAGATGTGAATGGACCAGAACCACTCAACAGCCGGAGCAATAAGCTACACTGTAAGGCGCTGTCTGTCTTTTTTGTTGGAACCTTCTACTTTCTTGTCTACTTTTTGTTGCTGTTGTAATTCCATTTCTATCTCTCTGGGGTTCAGTCAGACTCTAGCGATCTTACACATGTGAGCAACACAAGTTGCAGGCCTTCTATTCATGCCTATTCCCTAATTCCTTTAGTGATATTTTAAATTCAGAGACTTTTAGGAGTTGACACTCTTGTCTCATTTAGTGATACCTCCCTACTTTTCAACTCCCCTCTCATCCCTTCTCTCTTTGCACTGCAAGAAGGCTTCATGGTTTATGTTTTTAGTTAAAGTATGTTAAAATTGAGGAAAATTGAATTAGTACATAGATAGAAACTTAAAACTTAAAACCAAGGCTGCTACTGTCTGAAGCAAGAAAAGATCACTAGGAAAGTTTGTCAACTACAATTTTTTATAGTTCTGTGAGAGATAATTACTTTGTAGCTCAAGAGATCTGCCTCAATTGACTATAAATGTAAGAAAATATTGACTTGACCCTCATACTCTGGAATTTTAAAGTTGAAATGCAAGTATATTACTCACTAGGAAGAAGTAATCACCTTAAAAGCCGGAGACTTAAGTCCACATGTGATTGGAGCTGGCAGTATGGTTAACATACGCTGTAGTTAGCCCTCAGCGCGTTTCCATTCTTGAAGTAAATTATCGATTTAGGTATTAGATCAGCACATAAAGTTTGGCAGAACTTGGTTGTAATTAGCAAATGAATGTGAGTTTGGATTTCAGAAGTTTGAGTTTCAGAAGTTTTGCGTTTCATAACAGACGGTGCTGAGCCTCTAAGTAATATAGGCATAGAGAAGAATGGTAGCTTAGCATTTTTCCCAGTGCTAGTTTTTATTTCAGTTCATTGTGAAAAGGGTGAGTACCACATGTTTACATTTGATTATCTAGAGTAATAGAAGGGAAAACAGCATGGATGATCCAAAGGTTTGGATAAGTCAGAAGTCATATATATTTTGTTTAAGAAGGTAGATTTTAAAATGGGTCTAAGTGATTTTTCTACTCGTGACACCTTAAACCTGGCTGATTTTTGGCAAATCACTTAACCTCCTGGGCCTCGGTTTCTTCATCTGTAAAATGAAGAGGTGTTAGGGGCAGCACATAGACAGTCTCTTCCTGAGTTCAAATCTAGCCTCAGACACTTACAAGCTCTCTGATCCTGGGCAAGTCACTTCACCCTGTTAACTTCAGTTTCCTCATCTGTAAAATGAGCTGGAGAAGGAAATGGCAAACCACTCCCGTATCTCTGCCAAGAAAGCCCCAAATGGGGTCAGGAAGAGTCGGACAGGACTGAAAAATGACTGAACAACAACAGAATGAAATGTTGGACTAGATAGACTGTGAGGCCACTTCTGTTATAGATTTAGGATCCAAGAATTTTCTATAAACAAAACAATGAAACTCTGTAAGGCTTAAGAAATGTATAAAGCTGCCCTTTCTTTGCTTAGTTCTGCTGAAAATATCCAGTTCTCTCATATTGGTGCTAAGTAGATCACCTCTAAAATGTTCCTTAGAGCTGGGTCATGGTATAAGTTACAGATTCCAAAGATCTTTCCTGCATGAGAAGAAAGAGCAAATAGAATATGATATCACAAAAGCAGTTACCTTTTTTGATGGGAAAAGTTGTTTTTACCTTTTTAAAAAGTTAGTTTTATTTTTTCAATCAGTAAAAATCCGTCTTTTTACCTTCCCATTCTAACACACATCTTGAATATTAAAGGAAAATAAACCGCATTATGAAAGTATATCTATAGTCAAAACAAACGTCCACATTGGTCCATGTTCCACCAAAAAAAAAAGTTTGTCTCATTCTGCATTCTGAGTCCTTTACCTCTCTATCAGGAGATGGGGAGAATGTTTTTTCATTAGTCCTCTGGAGTTACGGTTGGTTATCACACTGATAAGAGATCCTAATTCTTTCAGAGTTGTTTGCCTTTGCCATTTTGTTGTCCCTGTATTGATTGTTTTCCTGGTTCTGTTCACTTTACTTGGCATCTGATCATAGAAGTCTTCCCAACTCCATCATTTCTTGTGAAGTACCTGGTAGCACAATGGCTAGAGCTAGGGGCCTGGATTCAGGGAGGCCTCAGCTGTAAAATGGGGTTAATAACAGCATCTACCTCAGGGTTGTTGTGAGGCTCAATTGAGATAATACTTGTGAAAAACACTTAGCACAGTACTTGACACATAGTAGGTACTATGTGAATGCTTATTCCCGTCCTCTTTTTCTTTCTTACATCACCATAATATTCTGTCATGTTTACATGCCATAACTTGTTCATCTTTTCCCCAACTTATGTGCAACCACTTAGGTTCCCATTGTTTGCCACATCAAAGGAGCTATAAATATTTTTGTACGTCTTTAGGGTTTATGTAGAACTAGTCCCTCTCTTAATCTAACCTCTTTAATTCCTCCTCCCCTTTCACTCCTATTTCTCTGTTGAGTAAAATGTATTTCTATGTGTGTGTATTCTTCCTTCCTTTACCCAGTTCAGATGAGAGTGAGGTTCAAGTGTCAACTATTATCTCCTGCCCTTTCCTCTTTGTGCACATAAAATATCTACTTGTGCATACTAATAATGTGTTAATTTTCCCTAACCTTTCCTTTCTCCCCTCCACCCCCCCATAGTGTATTCATCTTCCCCTCTTTTTCCATCCGTTTATTAAGATCAACAAAACATAACAGAATGTCTCTCAAGCCTTATCTAATTTAGACGTCCTCCTTTGACCCTTGATGATGATAGGGATCAGAGAGAGGGGACACATGTATGGAGTGATGGCCCCATATTTGAATATAAGTTGTCTGTCATTGTTTAGTGTCTTATTTTTCATTTATGTTTACCTTTTCATGTTGTTCTTTACTTTTATATATAAACTTCAAAGTTTCTCTGCAGCTCTGGTCTTTTCATCAGGAATTGCTTCGAAGTTTTCTATTTTGTTGAAGGTCCATTTCTTTCCCTTGTAGCATTATTCTCAGTCTTGCTAGGTATATTATTCATGGCTGTAAGCCATTTGCCTTTTACAATATCTAATTCCAAGTTCTCCCTTCCTTTATCATAGTGGCTGCTAAATTGTGTGTGATCCTGACTGTGTCTCCTTAGTACTTGAATTCTTTCTTTCTGGCTGCTTGCAGTATTTTTTTTTTCTTTGACTTCGAAATTCTGGCTTTTAGCTATGTTATTCCTGCATGTCTTGATTTTGGGATTTCTGCCAGAAAATGACCAGAAGATTCTTTTTCTTTTCACTTTACCCTTTGCTTACATAAGAGAGCTGCGTAACTAAGATTTCTTGAAATAGGATGCCTAGGAATTTTTTTTTTATCATGACATTCAAATAATCTAGTGATTCTTACATTTTTTCTCCTTGGACCTGTTTTTTGTTTTTTCCTAGTTTTTCAGTCTTTTGACTTTGTTTTACTATTTCTTGTTGCCGTATGGAATAATTAGCTTCTGTTTGGTCCATTCTAATTTTCAGGAAGTTTGTTTTTTTTGACAAGGTTTTTCCAGTTCTATCCCCTGTAGCTCTCCTTTGTTTTCCAGTTTTTTTCCTCAGGTGCTCTCATTTCATTTATATAAACTTTAAAAAAAAACTCTTTTGAAATTCTTGCTTCATCTCTTCAAGGAATTCTCATTGATTTTGTGCTCATTGTGTTTTTCTCTGAAGCTTTACTCGTAAGTGTTTTGGAGTCATTCTCTACTTCTGGGTTTGTGTCTTGAGCACCCCTGCCACCATAATAGCTGTTTATTGCGGGATTCTTTTTTTGTTTGCCAATTCCTACTTCCTGACTTCAAACTTAGGTTAGAGCCAGGCTCTGCACACTTCTGGAGGGAAGGTCTGGGCTGGTCTTATTACTGCCTTCTTTCGGTTTGGAATGTTGTGTTATCCCAGGATCTTGGGGACAGGCTGGAGATCTGTAAGCTGCTTTCATTTTCTCCTTTTTGGTTGTCAGGTAGTCAACTAAGAACCAGGCACTGAGGATACAAGAATCAGTGAGTCCCTTCCATCAAAGAACTTGAACTCCATTAGGAAAGAAAATGTGTATGTAAATAGCATATGCAAAATATATACAAAATATGCACAAAGTCATTTGGCAAGCACTAGCACTTGAGGGCGGAGGGTCAGGAAAGGTGTACTATGATCTGTGTGCGTCATGTGCAAGGACAGTTTGGCTAGACTATAGAGTTCAGGAAGCGGAATAATATATAATATGGCTGGAAAGGTAGTAGGTCTAGGGCCAGTTTGTGAAGAGTTTTAATTGTCCAACAGAGTTGTTGTTTGATCCTGTCAGTCAGTAAGCATTTATTAAGCACCTGCTACATGCCAAGCATTTTGCTAAGCACTGAGGATACAAAGAAAGGCAAATGACAGCCCCTGCCCTCAGGGAGCTCACAATTTAATTGAGGTGGCAACATGCAAATAATCATGTACAAACAAGCTTTATACAAAATAAAAAGGAAACAATTAACAGAGGAAATGAGCTAGAATTAAGAGGGATAAGGAAGGATTTCCTTTAGAAGGTGGGATTTTGTCTGGGATTTAAGCGAAGCCAGGAGGTGAAGTTAATGGGGGAGAGCCAATGAAAATGGCCAGAGTCAGGAGGTGGAACAGCAAGGAGTCCAATGTCATGAATCAGAGTGGGGGGGGTGGGGGGGTGGGGCATGGAGTGGGGGGGAGTGCAGCAAAGTATAAGGTGTAAGAAAAATGGAAGGGGGTGAGGAGGGAGGTTATGAAGGGCTTTTAAATGTCAAACAGAGGGTTTCATATTTGGTCCTGGAGATGATAGGCAGTCACTGGATTTTATTAAGTAGGAGGGGAACCACTGGAATTTATTAAGTATAAGAATAACATAATCAGAACTACACTTAAGGAAAATTACTTGAGTCATTCATGTCATTTATTCAGGAACTGGAAATCAGTAGTAATTCTTCTAAAACGTCAGAGCCCCAATTCCTACAGCTGGGTATTTTATGCCTCAGTGGGCAATGAGGCCAGACCAGTGTTTCTAGCCCTAAATTCCTCAGGCCAATCAGATCTAAAGAACATCCTACATACACCCTTACTAGGAAACTAGCTCAATTGATAAACAAGCACCACCCTATAACATCCCACCCACTGGTGGCATGGTCCCCAAAATTTTCTAGGATACCATATCATGCAAATAATCTTAAAACAATTCTAAGCTCATAAGCAACACTGGAAGAGGAGCTTAATCAAACAATAAAAATGTGAATACTCTTCTTCATTCTCATAGTGAGGATAATATCAAGGATGGGTTAGAGTAGATTTTCTGATCTAAAAAAAGACTGTCCAGGAGCATTGCAGGAACATTAGATCAGTAGCACAGATGACAATACCTCCAATGCTATCATCTATAGGAAAATAGGTAAGAGGTCACAGGCTTTTTCCATGAAACCTCTGCTTGGACCTGAGTTAATGGCAGAACTCACCCTATGTAGTATTTTAACAATCAACTATCCCCACTCCAAAGAAGCCTCATCAGGAAATGGTACCAAATTTTGCCCCTTTTAGAGGCCTCTACTATAAGAGTTGGGTGCACACTCTATTTACCTTCATCCAGGGACTTATATTACCATCGGGTCAATTAATGGCTTTCTTCCAGGAGAATTCTTATCAACTATGATTATAAAAATACAATTTTATCTCCTCTATACTTTGAAAAGAGCAACACACCTCCCAACTTTGTAGAAAAAAAGTTGTTCAGATCATCTGGGGGAAAAGATGCCAATTCAAGTGGAACCTGAACCATTTTTCCTGAGTTGTATAGAATTCTCTGATGAGGCAGAAACCTTAACTGAGACAAAATCCAAAAGCAGTCTGTACTTATCGGGTCAGTCTTAAGGCCAGTTCTGAAAAACTACTGGACCAGATAGCTTTCTCCCTTCCTACGTATCATTAGTTTATCAAAAAACACAGCCTCTTGGATGTGGAACACACAATTGCAGTTACCAGAGGTGTGATGACAAAGTTGTACTTTCAAAAATCTCTTCAAAGTTTCAGTGATGCCAGTTGCCTATGAAAAAGCCAGTTGATGGGATGGTACCAAGCCAAATCTGACCTTCATAATAAAATGAGTGCCCTGATCAGGGGAAATGATATGAAAGGGCCATAAAGAATAAGAATATGTTCCATATCAGCTATGATGGTGGTTTCCATAGTAACAGATTTAATTGGTACTTCAGTCTCCTCTCCTAAATAGGTAGAAACTTTAGTGAGATCAAACTTCTTGCCCTGAGATGGAGTAAGAGAATAAATGTAAATGCTCTGATTGACATGAAGAATAATCTACCACTATTAGACCAGATTATTTGATTCAGCAGACGGCGTATGATGTCTCCAAGAGGCATTAATATACCCCATAAACAATTATATGGAATGAGATACATTAACAAAATTCCTGCAGTGTTTCTCACCTGGAATAGGTGTACCTTTAACTTTCCTGTGATGTTCTCTCGGGCCCTAGACTGCTCGAGCAGATCCATGGCTACTATCCAGGAGGCAGTATAAATAAAACTCTTGGCTGCCTCATCACTCAGAACTATTACATGCTAGCCATGCAACTCCCATTTTGACCCATCCAAAGGATTTTTTAGATGGATCTCTCCTATGCCTTGTCTCATATAAAATGCCATCTGTTTGTTCTAGGACCTCTGCTATCTCGTTCAACATTGATTATTATGGTCTTAGACATCAGTGCCCTCAGGAAGTATGGCCTTTTTCGGGTCTTTGCCCACCAAACTGGCAGTAAGAATATTCAAGAAATCCTGAGGAAAGATGGTGAAGGTATAGCGAAAGCCTTCCCGGGTAAAAGCAAGCTACTTCTACCTCATCTTCAGCCAGGTGAATGGAGAAACAGTCATTATAGAGATATCACTCACTCAGGGTTTGGTCTGCCTTGTCAAGATCAAGAACAGCCACAGCAGTGAGCGCAACTTTTTCATCTCCTGATAATCTCCTATAAGTTACCAGGTACCATCTGCTTCCTTCACTGGCCATACAGGGGTATAGGGGAGTTTGTGTAGTGAAGTACTCCTGCCTCCTCCATCATTAAGAAGGAAAACATCTGTTACTGCTTCCCTCCTCACAACCTGAGGGACCTGATATTGTTTGATATTAACTACAAAGGGTGGTTTGGGCAAATCCAAGGATTTCTGTTCAGCTTTACCCACCAATATAAATACTACTGTAAGCTGCCATACAGGTACTGACTCCCCTAGAATTCATATCTACACCCTGTCTTTATGATTAGCCTTCACAACTGAAACCCAAATGGAGGTCTTCCATCTGAGCTTGGGTGTTCCTTCCCTTGGATTCCCTCTCACCCACAACAGAAATTGAGAAACTCCTATGGAATCCTAGGGAGTCCCTGGAATGATGATAGCTTGATTACTGGTATGTAGCAGCTTTCCCTTTTGCAAATCACAGTAGTACTACTACTGTAGCTTCCAGCTCCTCCTGTGGTCCTGACCACCTGAACCTTGGAGGAACCACTATTCCTCTGCCACCTAGAAGAATCAGAAATCCTTCTATAAACTTTTTTATTATTACTTTTGAGGTAATTGGACTTAATGCAGCCAATAAAATTCATTCTGCCTTTTTGCTTTATAATGGTTAGTTTATTCTAGGTTCCCAAGCAAAAATTTAAGAAGCTAATCCTGTTTATTTTCTAAGTAAGTGAATCTATGTCTCCCTTTGTCTGTAAGGGATACTTAGGTTTAACCAACCTAAGTATTTTACGGAAACTTAGAGATCTCTAATAACTTGATATAAAATTAGTATTCTGAGAAAATTTAATGTTTTATTCAAATAACTTATAATTGTTCATATGCTCATGTTACCTTAAATCACATGAGAGGCAGTGTGTTGCCAGTAGTAGAGAGCCACTGTTATGAAGACCAGCATTCAAGACAAGTCACTGAGACTCTCAATGTGCCCAGGCCAGTCTTTAAGACTCTTAAGTTTCCAAAAGGCCATAGATCTGCAGTGGTAGAGGGGACACTATACCACTGAAATCACAGGTCCTATTTGGGGGGGGAATCATCCATGATTTTCAGATGAGTTGAAACTTATCCTATAGTGGAAGAACCTAAATTTTTACTTTGCTGCATGTAGTTACTTCTTGAAAATTAAGATAACAGATGTTAGAAAAAGACAATCCAAGCTTACCAGCTGCCTTTTATTTCTCTGTAGACTTAAAAATCACAGAATCACATGGCTAATAAATGAAACCAGACTAGAACTCAAGTCAACAAGCATTTATAAACACTTCCTATGTGCCAGGTACTGTGCTAAGCTCTGGGGATATAAAGAAAGGCAAAAACATGTTCACTGCCCTCAGGCAGTTCGCATCCTAATGGGGAGAAAGTGTGCCACACACAAGGAATATTGGAGGTAATTTTATAAGGAAGGCACTAGCATTAAGGAGGCCTATGGAGGATTTGAGCTGAGACTGGAAGGGAACCAGGAAGCAGAGAGAAGGAGGGAGAGGATTCCAGCCACTAGGAAAAGCCAATGAAAGTGCCCAGAATCGGGAGTCAGAATGTCTTGTACCAGAAGGCCAGTGTCACTGGATTGTAGAGTATATAGAAAAGGGAGTAAAGTAGAACAAGACTGGAAAAAATAGGAAGAGGTTAGGTTATGAAGAGCTCCAGTATCCAAAGAGAGGATTTCGTGTTTGATCCTAGAAAGTTCCTGGTGCTCCAATTGAATGGAGGTTTGGGGGAGGGAGTAGTCAGTGCTTTAGGAAGCTCTCTCTGATAGCCAAATGGAAGAGGGATTAGAGAGGCGAGATGCTTGGGGCAGAAAGACCAACCACAAGACTATATCCGGAGTCTAGGCATAAGGTGATGGGGGCCTACTCCAGGTGGGCAGCTGTGTCAGAAGGGGCTATGGAGGAGAGATATTGTGAAGGGGAAAACAGGACTTAACATCATATTGGATATGTAGGGCAAGGGAGAGTAAGAAGTCAAGGATGACACTTAGGTGCCTGGAAGGACAGTGGTGTCCTCAGCAATGATAGTAAAATTTGGAAGTGGGAAAACTTTGGGGGACAAAGAAGAGTAATGAATTCATTTTTGGACATGTTGGGTTTTATCCAATTTGAGATGTCCAATAGGCAAAGATGAGAGACGAGAGATCAGGAGAGAAGTTCAGGCAAGATAGAACTGAGAATTACTTGCATAGGGATGATAATTGAATCCCTGGGAGCATATGAAATCAAACAAAATAAAATAGAGAAGAGTTTTATTTTTTTCTCTATCTATAGAAGAAAGGATAGATTTATTGAAGTTTCATACACCATCATATCCAAAGCAACTAGGTACCTATTAGGCTGAAACCAGATAACTTAAAGAGATAGGGAGCTGGCCCACTATATCTCCTGCAGGTATTTTACAGAGGAACAATCTGCTGAGACTTTAAGCAGTCCTCAGAGCAGATAATATCATGCCCCAATCTTTTGCCCCACCATTTTTAATGGTGGAGGAAAGCATCAGCTATGTTAGTTATCAACATATTTTAAATTAAAAGCTGATCTGCATTCTTAAGACCAAGGGTTATCACTTCAGCATTAACTTCTTTTAGTCTTTAAAAACCCTTCAGTAATAATATTGTTCTTAGAGAAATCTACTACTAATTGATTTTCAGTTTTACATATTTCCTTTATAAATTCAGTTCCTTGGGAAGGGGAAGAGTAAAATGCCATTCATTTGAAATGACTTTATCTTTTCCTTTCTAGTTGCTTTTCGATTATATGACTTGGATAAAGATGACAAGATTTCCCGAGATGAATTGTTACAGGTATGTGGGGCTACTGGTATGGATTAACTTGTGTTTTGATTCTGCCCACTAGAAAGGAAATTGTCTCTTCATTCAGCCAGCCTCTATACAGAGCACTTTATAAAAAGACTTGAGCTACCATTTATTTCAGTAGGAGGATGGCAAAAGATTGTCCTTGCTGTATAAAGTACCTGGCTTAACTTCTGTATATTCACAGGCAAACAAGCATGCAGGAAATAGCTAAGCTCAGACAAGTTAATTGTTGGCAAATTACTTTTTGGGCAATAAGACCACTTCCTGAAAGGATGGTTAGAGTGACTATCCACACCCAGAGCTCACCTCCAAAAAAAAAGAGCAGGAGAGACAGACTAGGATGTGAGGGCAAAGGTAGTACTATAATGCCTCCTGTTGTCACCTGGCCTTGCTGCCTGACATTCCTGCCTTAACCCCTGGTTCTCCTGCTAGAGGCTGCTGGACATTTGCCTCATTTGCACCTTCTATCCCACCCTTTCTTCCTTTAGTTTAGGGGAGGAGAAAATATGTCCCTCTTGGATATATAGCCTTAGACTAGACTGTGAATTTGAATGATCTTCTAGGACCTTAGTTGACTCATGACCCATCTTATAAATTAGTTTATTCTAGAGTGGGCTCACAGCCTGAGAGCCTGGGGCGATAGAGGTTATCCTAAAGAAATCAGAACTAAATTAGTGTCTGGAAAGAAGGAAATAGAAGATGATTCAGGCCACATTAAAGATTATCTCATTTGAGTATCATCCTGTAGTCGTAGGACAGGACACATACTATAACTTGTCCTTTGGGTGAAAGTATCCTGTCTTGGATGAGATGTTCATTCACTTTTTCTGTAACAAACTCTGAAGCCCCTATTCAGCAGGGTTGTATAAAGGCAATTCTATTAAGTCATTTCTATAAGGCAGTTCACTAGTAGAATCCTCCTGTGTTTTTATCCTTTGGCTTACACCTGGCTGCAGGAAAGATTTCAGTTGATTTGAGTTGGTTTGTTTGTATTTTCCCTCAGATTCCTATTAAGATAAGGAAAACTGAGAAAAGGACATGTGATTAGAGAATGTTTCTGGACCTTGTTTGTATCATGGATGTCTTTGGAAGTCTGGTGCAGTCTTTGGACCCCTTCTCAGGATAAAGTTTTTAAACACATAAAATACATAAGATTACAAAAGAAACTAGTTATATTGAAATAAAAATGGAATTTTTTTTCCCATCTAAAATCACAGATTCCCTGAAATTTGTCCACAGAAGCCTCAGAGGTCCATGGGAACCCAGGTTAAAGACCCCTGGACTAGAGTGTCAATCACCTATTTTTCTAGTCAGTGGCACTGGAGTGTTCCCAGAGCTGAGATTGACTGTATGGTTTATTCCTTTTTATATTCTAAATGTTTTTGCTTGTATGATCGCAACTCCTACTTTTTTTTTTATTCACCTGATGTATAATAAAAAATTTTCTAGTCCTCATTTTTATTCTGTATATGTCTTTGTTGTAAGTAACAGATTATGGGGTTTTGTATTCTTAGCCAAACTATCACTTTTTCATTTTTTTGGATTATTTAACCCATTCATATTTAAAGTTATGAGAATTAGCTTTATATTTTCCCTCCATTTGTCTGTAACAATGGGTTTTTTCCCCTTCTTTCTCTGTAAACACAGTACTGTGTCTCTTCAGTTATTTTAGCTAATCTATTTTAAAGCAACCCTATTCCTACCAGCTCTCTGCTCCTTACAAGGCCAAACAGTTCCTATAAAAGGTGAATCCTAGTCTTAGCCACTATACTCAAGACCAAGAAGGGCCTGCCCCAATTATCCAGTAGTACAGGAATAGAGTTTGACTCAAGCATAATCCCCTAACCCAGACACTGACAGGACTGATGATGTGAACACACCTAAGAAAATGCTAAAACTATAAAGTGGGACTGTGAGATGCCAAAGAGGTAACCCACTACCACCACCAAAAAAAGAAAAAATTAGTAACTTCACAAGATGTCCAAGTAGAACCTCAGAGTAAAAGATGGCCTAGCCACAAGGAGTATCTGGAAAATATGAAACAAGAGATACAAAATGGAATAGCCTAAAGGGGGAAAAGGTTCACAAGAGAGATTGATACTTTAGAATAGGTAGTGAGGAACCTTATCTGAGAACTGAATACCTGGAAAATTAATGAACCAAATAGAAAGGAACTCAGTGAGACAATAAGAAATATTAAAAGCAAAATCAAAAGATTGGAAAAAGCAGAAGAAAATAAGGAATAAAATACCAAAAATAACTGGCCTGAAAAACAAGTCAAGGAAATATAATCCAAGAATCTTCAAACTACTAGAGAAATATAACCCCTCCCCCAACAAAACAAAACAAAAGGCATGGATACCATATTTTAAGAAATTACACATTGAAATTTCTGTATCACTTAAAACCAGAGGGCATAGTGAAAATAGAAGAGATCTTCTGGCTACCTCCTGAAAGAAACCTCAAAATAAAAACTCCCATAATGGTCATAGCCAAAATTCAGAACTTCTGGATCAAAGAGAAAACACTCTAAGCAACCAAAAAAAAAATTCCAGTATCATGGAGTCAAAGCCAGGATTACATAAGAATTGGTAGCAGCCAATATGAAGGAGAGGAGAGCTTGGAATATGATATTCCGAAAGGAAAAAGTCAAAGGGTTACAACCAAGAATCAAGTCAAGATGGCAGAGTAGTAGGAATTAGTACAGCCAAGTTCCTTTCCACAGAATTGCTCCAAACATCTAGAAAATGCACTAAATCTTGATGAAGAAATCCAGAAAAAGTCACAGTGTGTCATTTGTCCAGCCCAGGCTGGCATAGGACAAGAGACAAGGAAGCCAATGGTGATGGAGTTGAGTTGCACCAGAACAAAAGGGGGTCCCAGACCTATACTGAGATACTTTGGGACAGGTGTGAACTGGCAGTTTAGTCACTGACTACCCAAGTCCAGGTCACAGATCCAGGACAGGCTGAAGAGACTTTTGCAAGTTTCCAGGTAGAGGTGCCCTGGGATCATAACAGAGCAAGTTCTGAAGCCTGCAGCAATGTGGATCAGACCCCAGGAGCAGGGCAGAGTCGCATTTCCAGCACCTAGCCCAGAGAAATAACCAGGACAGGAATACCAGACCAAAGGAGAGTGTACAGTTCTGTTATTGAACCAGAAAAACTTCCTAAATGGCTGATAGGGGCTAAGTATAGCAGCAGATTCCTCATGCTAAGATCCAAACTCAGGATAGGAACTTGTAGCGTTCAGATGGGGGAATCATAATCATAATCAGACTTTGCCCAGGATCAGACCACTTTGGGAGCACTGAAAGCTTGCAGGTCCTTGGCCTGTTCCTGAGATGCTGGAATAACACAACACTTTACTCCACGAAAGCAGCAATAGGACCAGCTTAGCCCTACCACTAAGTGGGAAGTTAGGAAGTAGACTGGAAGAGTGGGCAAACAACAAAAAGAATCCCACCGTAGAGTTATTATGGCAGGGACATTCAAGACATCCAGAGGAGAGTAACTCCAGAACATCAACAAGCAAAGCCTCAGAGAAAAACACAACTTGGGCACAAATTCTTCTAGAATCCTGGAAGAGGTGAAGCAAGAGTTTAAAAAAAAATTAAGAAACTTTTTATAAGTGAAATATGATGTAATTTAGCAGCCATCACTGTAAAGTAGTGAGAACTTGGATTACAGTATTGCAGAGTACCAAGGATGTGTGCTTAAAGCCAAGAACAACTTACCCATTAAAACTGAGCATTGTAAGCTCCAGCCTTGGGAGTCGGGAAGACCTGAGTTCAAATTTGGCCTCAGACGCTTGACACTTACTAGCTGTGTAACTCTAGGCAAGTCGCTTAACCCATTTGCCTCACAAAAAAACCCAAAAAAACAAACTGAGCATCGTAAGGGATAAAATGAATCTTTAATGAGGACTTCCAGGCACTCTTGATGAAAAAACCAGAGCTGTGAAGAAACTTTAAAGTTCAAACACAAGAGTGAAGAGAAACATAAAAAGGTAAACAAGAATGAACAATAAGTACTAAACAGGAATAAACTTCTTATATTCAAATGTGGGGAGATAATACATGTCTCTCTTTTGAACTCCATCATCATCAAAAGTCATAGCATCTAATCAGATGGGGTTGAGGGGAGCCTGGGATTGTTTCTGTTATATCTTGGTGATCTTTAAAAAAGAATGGAGAGAGGGAAGGGAAAGGAAAGTTAGGAAAAATTTTCTCACATAATTAGAATGCACAAGTAGGCATCTGTAACAACCAGGAGGAGGGAGTAGGACTTCAACTTCACTCTCATCTGAAGTGTTCAAAAGAAGGAAGAATATGTGCAAACACACAGTTGCTTATAGAAATACATTTCATTCAGCGGAGAAATCTGAGGGAAGGGGGAATTAGAGGGAGGGTAAAGTAAGGGTGAGATTAGTCCTAAATGAAACAAACTAAGGATGTACAAAAATGTTTATAGCTCTTTTTGAATTGGCAAAGATTGTCAGTCTGAGGGGATGCCCATAAATTGGGGAAGGGATAAACATGTTATGGTATATAAATGTGCTGGAATACTGTTGTAGGATAACAAATGATAAAATGAATGGTTTCAGAGAAACCTTGGAAGATTTATGATCTGATGCAGAGTGAAGCAAACAAAACCAGGAAAACGGTTTGTACAAAGATAACAATATGGTAAAAACAAACAACTTTGAAAGAATTATATACTTTTATCAGTATAATGAATGACAAACCACCTTCTGGAATACTAATGGTGAAGCCCACTCTACTCACCTCCTGATAGGATGGTAAAGCATTCTAAATGTAGAATGAGAGGGGAAAAAAATTTTTCCAGACATAGCCAATGTGGAAAGTTGTTTGATTGGCTGTGCTTGTTTGTAATGGGTTTTATTTTTCTTGTGTTCTCAAATGGGGAGGTGAGAAGGCAGGTCTTTGCTGGTTAAAAGAAAAAATATTTAAATATAAATAGGGATTTCCCAGTATTTTTGAGAACCTAAATTGAGTAGACACTTTGAAATGGAAACTGCCCAGAAAGTCACTATATGTACATCTTTTGACCCACCAACATAATTTGTAGGCCTGTACTTCAAAGAGATCAGGGAAAAGAGGAAAAAGAACTCTGTGTCCAAAAATGTATAGCAACCTTTTCTGAGTAGCAAAAACTGGAATCTAAGGAAATTCTCACCTATTGGGGAATGAACAAATTATGTTATGTGAATATAATTGAATATTATTGTGCCAAAAGAAATGATGAAATGGACAGTTTCTGAGGAAACAGGGAAGACACCCTCTATCAAATAGTACAGGATGAAGTGAGAAGAACCTGGAGAACAGTTTATTTAATAGCAACATCATAAAGAAAAGTAACTTTGGTTTGTTTTTTTTTTTAAGGCAATTGGGGTTAAGTGACTTGCCCAGGGTCACACAGCTAGTAAGTGTCAAGTGTTTGGTCTGAGGCGAGATTTGAACTCAGGTCCTCCTGACTTCAGGGCTGGTGCTCTATCCACTGCGCCACCTAGCTGCCCCAAGAAAAGTAACTTTGAAGGACTTTAGAACTGATCAGTGTAATGACAAAGCATTATTCTATAAGATTAAAAATGCAGAATGAGACGTACATTTTTGGACATGACTGATGAGAGAATTTTCTTTGCTTGATTATTCATGTTATGAGGGTTTTGATTTTCTTTTGTATTGTGGATCAGTTGGGAGAGTGTGAGAGGGAGAGAAAATAAATTTTAATTGGAAAAACAATAAAATAAATTTAAGAATATGAATATGAGGCTAAAAAATAGGAGACAAAAATAATTAAGGTATCATGGTGGACTGGTGGCAGTTGGGGACCTAAATTCTAATTCCAGTTCTGCCACTTATGACCTTGGACAAATCCTTTTCAACATTTCTTGACCTTACTTTTCTCATTTGTAAACTGAGTTCCTTTCTAATCAACCTGCCATTTGGGGTTAGTTAGCCTAGTTGAATATAATTGATTAAGGCAAAATTTCAAACTACCTTGACTTGCCATTTTCATGCTAGTAAAAGATTTTCCCCAAAAGCAGCCTGTAATTTCTGGACTTTTCATGTTGATAGGTATTACGCATGATGGTTGGAGTGAATATTTCAGATGAGCAGCTGGGCAGCATTGCAGATAGGACAATCCAAGAAGCTGACCAGGATGGGGACAGTGCCATATCCTTTACAGAGTTTGTCAAGGTCAGGAAATCGTTTCTTTTATCCTAGAAATAAAATTCTAATCCCTGAAAGGAGAAAACATACCAAGTATTTGCTGGGGACAGAGCTTGGTGAACCTGACCTTTGGAATGTTGGATGTGGGCTTCTCTCCTTCCTATTTCTTCTCTGAGACGTGGCTTCATATCCCAACATATGACTGATCTGTGGTTTGGGATACTAAAGGGGTTGTGGCTTTTGAACTTAAAACAAAGAAGTTGTCTTATTGCCTATTTGGGTTCTTCTTTCAGGTTTTGGAGAAGGTGGATGTAGAGCAGAAGATGAGCATCCGGTTTCTTCATTAATAGATTGGGACCAAATTGTTCCTGACTGCCTTGTATTTAAGAAGCGGAACTTGAGTTTTTCTCCCTCTCCCTTCAGAGTCCCTCCCCTCCCCAAGCGCTGCTGCTGTTGCATGACACACCTTGCCCTGTTTGTGCCAGCACACACCTGCCAGCCTTGGTGTTAGAAGCAGGGCACTAAGTTATGAATGGTACACCTGGGCTCTCCTGCTCTCTTTGGTTTTTCCCTCCACAGTTCTCCATTTATCAATATTGCCTTTCCTTTGTGTGCTGCTGTCAGCTATAAATCCATCAGTCTGAGAAAGAGAGGGAGGGAAGCACTCCCACCCATCCCCAAAGAGCCAACAAAGCCCCTTCCCTGGATGGAGACTGGAGCCATACGTACGTTCTAGTCAGGTTTTAGCACTCCTTCTCGACTTTCTTTAATGTCTCTACCCGCACGTATGTAACTACACAGCCAATCCTTCGGTCTCACTGTTCCTTTTTATTGAGTCTCACCCTCCCTTGCTCTTCCTTCCCCCAAGCTACACCTATCACACTCGCACATCTCTGATTTGTCGGGGCTTATAAGGTTGGTGAAGTGGCCTGATGGTTTTTAACCACTTTCCACTCCGAACTGAGCTTCTAGGACCTTGCCTCTCCAGGATCTTTTGGGTACCTGCTACTCTTCCTTGGGCTCTTTATACCGTGTTGTAGTTGAAAGACTGCAGGATGGAGGCATCCTTCCTGAAAACAAGTGGCCAGGGTGAGAGGTGGAGGTCAAGCCCCCTCTGAGTGTGCTCACTTAGGTCACCTCACCTCTGATCTCTGACCTACATGATTACTCTTGTTAGTACAGTATTTACCCTTCAGAAACTGGCCATCCACCTGGAAGCACACTTGATCTCTAGGCATGTATTATTGGGATGGCATCTGTGGCAATATGTATGTGAAATTTCTCATGGCTCCTTGGAAAGGGAGGCAAGCTTAGCATCCCAAGATCCTCGGTATTGACACTTGCTGCATGGTTTATACTTCGATATTATTACCCTGAAGTATCTTATATTTTGAGTGTCCAAGCAGACAAATTAGTGTTAAGGAAGTGCCTAACTTATCCCAGACCAAGAGATTTTAAGATTGTCCTCAGTATCTTGAAGTTTTGCACACAAATTAATTCTCTTTAAAATTGACATTTGCAAATGATTACGCTGGAATTCATAGCCAGCTTATATTACAGGTCCAAAGAGATGAATGTATTGCAAAGTTAGCCTCCTGGTTAACTAGCTTCCTAGATCCTCATATATACTGCAGCAGATTCTTCAGAAACGAAGGGTCTGGCACTGATTGCACATCCTGAGGTGGATTTGTAGGTCCTTGAAAAAAGCCAGAGCAACTTCCCTGCCAAAGTCAGCTTAACTGAGGCTTCCCTGAATCAGGCTGTGCCATGCTAACTGTTGTATGAGTTGATTCATTTCTGTATCTGCCCTGGACTGGCTTTTTCCTGGTTCCTTGCTTGCTTATTTGCATCAGAAGACTGATCAAGGTGTACATGGGATTCTTTGGCAAGGTACCTTGCTTACCTATCCTGAATTTTAGAATGCCAGGTGGAAAAATGAGGTGGGTCAGATGGGGCAGTGTAGATGCAAATTGCCAGTGACTTTCTCATGAAGGAATGAACCTAGATTACTGCTCCAATGATGTAATATAGGAATTGTATAAAAGGGAAGAATTGTCCAGTGTGATCTGTTAGAGAGGTACTTTAGTGGCTTCATGACTTGCATATTTAAGGTTCTTAAGGAAAAAAAATGCATTTTCCCCCTTTGGCTGTATAGCAAACTGTTTTAATCCACGGTTGTGCCTTACTGTTCCATTAAAATTGTATTCTTTGATCCATCAATAAATACTTGTGGCTAAAACAAATAAACAGCTCGTTTTAGACTTTTTTTGAAGCATAATTCTTTTCCCATGAACATACACACTTTCTTCCCTCATCTCCCCCACCAAAAGTGGGTTGCAAGTACAGTAATTTATGACCTATTTACACCCAAGGCTGTAGACACAACTAGACAAAGGACAACTCTGCCTCCAATTTGCATGGATACATGTATATCTGGGAATTCACCAGAAGGCTGTAACTTTTTTTTCTTTTTAAAAATTATGATGATGAATTTGACAATCATCAGTAATCACAAACGTTTCCTTATAGAGAGAATAGACAATGAGAGTTCATATGACACCATGATTCTGTTATGTAAAGCTCAAAATGTACATGGATATGTGCATATAATTTAACATGTTAATTCCTACACTGCCCTAATTTTTTTTAATATTTCCTTGATGCTCTTTTCATCCTTATGGAGATTATCACTACCACTCTTCTCTCTCTAAAAAAATAAAAAACCCCAACCATTCTTCTAAATAAAATGCAAACGAATCCATACATAAGCTGTGTCAGATGTATGTCTCGTTCTGTACCTCTAATCCATCACCTCTCTGCCCAGAGGTTAGAAGCATGATTCCTTATCAAACATCTGGAGTCGTCATTGGTCATTTCATCTTTCAGTTACTTTGTTTTACAATGTTACAATGCATAAATTGTTCTGATGCTGTTCACATCACTGCCTCAGTTCATACAAGTCTTCCCAGGGTTCTCTGAATATGTCTCATGTCATGTGTCACTCCCTATGCGTTTTATTCTAACAATTCAATCCAACAAGCATTTTTTGAGCACCTACTATATTCCAGATATTGGGGGGAAAAAAAGATTCCATAACCTCAGGGAGGTTACAGTTAGCTTTTCACAGCCCACATCATACCAGAAACAGCAAAACAAAGTGGGAGTGCTGTGTGAATGACTGCTGAGAGAACATGGCATAGCTAGAAAGCTGACCTGGAAGCCAGGAAAACTGGGTTCAAGTCCTGCCTCTGATACTGACTGGCCCTGGGCAAGTCATTTTACCTCAGTGTCTTGGCAATGCTCTAAGAATATAAGTTGCAGAGAATGTAGAGGGAGTTTATGAAATCTCAGGTTAAAAAAAAAGCTGATCAGGAGAGGACCCCCAAAAAAATCCATAAAAAGCAATAATAACATCCTCTGGAGCAACAGCAATATAACTATTCTGTTCAAAATATGAGTAAATAATTATGTTCCAGATACTCTAAGAAGTCAAAGAATTGAGTGACACTGCTTAGGGGGAGAAAAAGTGCTAAAAACAGCAAATGTCACATCTAGAAAATCCATTTATGTGGAACAGAGTTGGCATCCTAATAACTCCAGCTAAATAAAGTGTTTCTATATGTGGAAGCTTGTTATATTTGTATTTCAAGAAATTGATATTCCAAGCCCAACATAGCAGCTGTGAGGCGATGTTTCCCAGGTTAACTGGGAAAATCCAATGTGAGATCAGCACAAAACAAGGATGTCCTACTGAGCTTATCAACAGAAGCTTTATTTGCATGAAATGGTTCTCGGAATACTAGGAGAAAAGCATGTCTGCCTATAAGCTGCCCCCTCTTCAGCTGCCTGAGTTCAAACCCAGATTGTGACTGTTCTCTGAAAATGTCCTTGTTTAGATGTGAGTCAGGCCCAGGTGAAAGGGATAGCTAATTTTTTGGGAGTGTGTGTGTGTGTGTGTGTGTGTGTGTGTGTGTGTGTGTATACACACACATTCCAGAGCAATGTGGCATTAAATGGTGTCTGAATTCTGTACCTTGTGTGCAATGAAGAGAATATACACATGGATTTCTTGAAGGCAGAAGCTGTGTTTGCTCAGCTTCAGTGAAAGACCAGTTTAAATTTTAGACTGATACTGAAATATTCATTTTTAGGGAGGAAGAGGACAAAGAGTTATCAAAGAGACTTTCACCATCTTTTGAAATAGTTTCTCAAAACTGAGCAGTGAGTGGCTACGTTACTTCCTGAATCAAAACTATCCTTTTCAGCAAAATACTTTCACATTCTAAGGGATCTATATTCTCACCTATGTAGATGTTCCCTTCAGTGATACAGAATGCAAATGATTAATGGCTGCCCATCCTATACAATTTCTGTTTCCTCCTGTAAGTTTTTTGCAGGGGAGGCTGCCCAAAGTTTTTAGTTTAATGGCAAAGTGCAAATGTTCAAATGTTTTGAATCCGAATTCAAAGATGCTTTTTGCTTCCCTCCCTCCCCCCCCGCCTCTCATTTCCTAAGCAACTGTAGAAAAGGACACTGGCAAGCAAAAGAGGACAAACGGTGGTTACTAAAAAAAAAATACTTCCTGTGGCCATGATCACAGATCACACTACTGGTGTCTTCATAGATCTATCAAACATTCACAGTCTAATTTTAGGAGACTTTGGCTCCAAGGGAGGTTGTGTTTAAAAAATAAATAAATAACTCACAAAGCAATTTCAAAACATCCAGAGAAAAGGATGGTATAACTAGAAACTATAAAGAGGAATATGATTTTTTTCAAAGGACAGGTGGTCCTAAAAATGAAATTCTAACTATATAATCACAAGTAATAGCAGTGAGGAAGACAGATGAGAAGGCATCTAAAGAAACCACTGTTGCTGCACAGGGAGGTGTAAAAGATGGAAGGCAGTGAACATAAGGATGACTAAGTCTGGGAATACGATCTGACAAAAATTGAGCACCCATAGGTAGGCCCAGGGCAAATATAAAATTTATATTATGGAACTTCTAGTAGAACATTATGCATATCTAAGTAGATAGAGTATAATTATAAATAATAATAATAATAGTTGACAATTATATAACACTTTCAAGTTCAAAAAGCCCCTTAAATATATTATTTCATTTGAGCCTTACTCACAGTCAATCAATGATGACACCGAGGTTGTGATCCTGGATGAAAGGAAGGGCTGTGGAGCCATCAACAGAAATACTGTAGCTAGGAAAAGGTGGGAAAGATAATGAATTCTGTTTTGTACATACTGGGCATATGATCTGAAATGTCCACTAGGCATCTGAAGATACAGGACTATAGCTCAGGAGAGATGGATGTGAGAATTGTGCAGGAATCAACAGGGCTTGGCAGGCATGAATGGAGAGGACTCATGATTAAACTACCTACCTACTGACAGAGGACTCCAATGGATTGAGTGTAGATTGATTTTTTTCCCCTTGCAATAGCCAATGCAAGAATTTGTTTTGCATGATTATACATATGGGGGGGGGGGTGTTAACCTTTCTTGCTTTCTCAGTAGGAGAGAGGTTAAGGCAGAAGGGAGAGAAGGCTTTTTGCTGATGAAAAAATAAACTAGAATAGTCTCTCCAACTGTGGCTTCCAGAGCTGTTCTGCATTCTCATGCTACAAAGTAACATAAATGCAAAGGACAGAGTCAACTACAGGTGTTTATGAGAAAATAAGATTAGATGACTCAAATACAGTATTTAAGAGAATAAAAGAATATACTTAGAAATACGGTGCCAGTCACACTCAGCTATAGTAATGGAGGGCAAGGGGATAAAGGCTGAGAGTTTCTCTGTATCTTTTTTTTTTCCCTAGCACTAAAGGAAAAAAAAAAGGTCTTAGACTTTGCTGCTTCCCCTTTAGCTTTCACATCTCTGGAGTCTTCCTGAAGGCATGGGTTTGAAAATTCATACCATTTTAGAGTTAAATGGGATTACAATATCTTTAACTCCTACATACCTAAGGATCACACGCTTACCTGCCCCTCCTTGCTTGGAGGCTAATAATATCAATAACTCACAGCTATATAGTGTTTTAAAGTGGGCGAAGTGATGTGCTTGCAACACCACGGTAGAGTTGAGAAAGCACCGTCCCCCAGACACGCACTAAAATTTCTCTGGAACCAGTAAAATAGAATCCCAAGCCCAGTTGGGCAGAAGGGAAAACAACTCGGTTCTAAATGCCAGGAAAAAGTGCCGGGGGAGCAACCATCAAGCTGGGTCCCTTGAAATGCTGAAAAAGGTGGGATAATTAACTAGTCCGCCAACCCCCTTTGCCAGTGACGTCTGCCCTGTTGTTCGATTGGATTTTTAAAAGAAAAGAGAGAGGAAAAAAAAGGGCCAGTTGATCGACATGGATTTCGGCCAATTACTACAGGAAGGTGGGGCATGACCGGTGAAGTCAACTATCAATCGGATTTCAGAGACGGATACGAAGGCGGGGCCTAGCGGGTTCCGTTCGACGCTGGATAGGCGGAGCTGAAAAGGAGAGGAAGATGGCGGAGTGAGAAGCTGCGGTTCCCGCTGCGGCCGCGGCTGCGGCTGCCGGGAGCCCGCGGTGGCCGGGGTTGACCAGCCCTGGTCAGCGGCCGGCTAGTCTTGACAGCTCAGGTAAGCGTGGGAGGAGGATGGATACACGGTTACGGGCGCTTCTTCCATAGACTAGGCCTTGGGAGGTGCCCGCTCTCCTCCCTGTCGGGGCCACCCTGACTGGCCGGGGAGAGAAAGGGCTGTCTCCCCGAGGTGGCCTCATTAAAGTATGAGCGAATGCCACCTTCCCTACTTCCCACCGCCGCCGTTGGCTTGTTCTCGGGAGTCCCATATTCCCGCCTTCTCTACGCCTTTCGTTGGCCCTCTTCCGGCCGTCTTTCCGATTAGCCCGCCCCCTGGACTCTCCCATTGGCTGGCACCTAGCCTCCTTTTTCAGCCTCCCGTCATTCTCATTGGATCGCTCTTGGCTGCCTTTGTGTTATCCCGTTCTATGACTCCCTGATTGGGCAAAGCTTGGGCGTGTCTCTCATCCGCTTTGCCTGCTATTTATTGCGGCCTAAGAGACTGTTTTCTTCATCTGGTTTATTAATTGGAATTATTTTTGCTACTCTAATTAGAATTTCAGCCCTAACCCTCCTTTCCCTCCCCCTCTTCCTCTCTTACCTTCCCCAGTTGATGGGGGACGATTTGATCCTGGCCCCCGCCCTCATCCCATTGACCTTGAGATTTGTCACCGAGAGGTCACCCAGATGGATTTGATTCTGCTCCTGTGCCGTGTGGACACCACCCAGGTTTCCCTTACGCGCTGAATATGCAAACTTTTTTTGGGGGTGTGTGTGTGGTTTGGTTTTTTTTTTTTGCTATTTTACGCCGTACAGGTGCTGAGGTTACTCTTGGCTCCATTAACTTTAGCACCCTGAAATTCACAACTAGATTTTTGTCTCAGCGTCAAGGGAATCAGTAGAGTTAGTCTTCAGTGAGAGAAGGGGTCAGATAGCGGACGCGGTGGATAGAGCATTGGGCCTGGAGTCAGCAAGACCTAAATTCAAATCCTGTTTCAGACACCTACTAGCCGTGTGACCCTGGGCAAGTCACGTAACCCTGTTTGCCTCAGTTTCCTCATCTGTAAAATGAGCTGCAGAAGGAAACGACAAACCTCACCAGTCACTTTGCCAAGAAAATTCCAGATAGGTCATGAAGACCTGACAGGTCTGAACAACAGAAACAAATTGTAGGGATAGGCCAAAGATGTTTTTAAGGGACTTGGTTATATATGTTGTGCTAAGTTATTTTGCCATTCTGAGGGTCATCAGAATGCACCATATAACTTGGATTCGATAATAAAATGTAATTGAGGAAGAATTGAATTTATTATGTAGTAATATTGTTCTGACCCTCTTGGTAGCTACAACACCTCGCCTTCCTCTCTTCCGCCCCCTGCCCCCCAATCATATGACTTCAAGGACTTTTGCAAACTCCAGACTGAAGTACAAATGTAGTTTTTCGAATTGAAGTTAATAAACATTTCTCTATTATGTTTAGACTCTGAACTGATGAACTTTAAAATCAGTCATTTACATTGTTGTAATTGCCTTTTACAAAATTTAATTGAACCATATGCCCCTTGGAGGGAGTTATGGCAGCTGTTCTCTCTGCAGATAAGGAAGCTGAGACTTAAATAAATTAGGGTGGATGAGGTAAGTGGCGAGAGCATTGGACTAAGTCAGATTAATTCCCTCAATTCCTTAATATATTCATCTCTAAGTTGAGGATGATAGTACTTGCACAGAAGTCACTGGATTCTTTCAGGAAATGCTTTGTAAACTATTAACTTATTTGTTATTAAGTTATTGCTATGTATTATTAACATGTATTATTATTAAGTTATGTATCTTTGTATGGAGTTGTTAAGATACTTGCCCAGAGTGACTCAAGATTTAAACCCAGATCTTTTGACTCCAAGGCTAGTGCTACCTGTACCACACAAAACCTTACAAAAAGGTTTTGAAAAGGCTAGATTCTTATTTGTTAATGGATTTGTATCAGAGGAAAGCTTATGTGAAAAAGCCCTTATTTAGAGTTTTTGTCTGTTAGTCAAGACCCGTTTGAACAGACATTTCATAATGTAAGAACATAGACTATTTAGAATAGTCCCTTGTATATAGTAGTGTCTGTGTAAGGAATGAAATTATTTCAGAAATTATGTGCTGTACTAGGAAGGTTCTTGTTTAAGCATGGGCTCGAAATACCTAAATAAGCAGCACTTAGTTACCCTTAAGTCATTTCTATGCATTTTTATAAATAATAGATTGTTGCCCTGTTCAATCCTTGACCATGAGAATGACTGTCAACTTAGACCCCTTTAGAAGAAAAAAGGAGGATTTGGAGGAAGGAAAACAAAGTAAGGAAATTTTCTGTCACAGTTCTTTGGTCATCATAAAGAGAAATCTTCTAGCATCATTTTTAGGTAAATTCAGTTCAGGGTAAAGAATAAATAATTATCAAGCTGTGATTTCTATGTGGTATGTGATAATGCCGTTTCTTAAGGTAGATTGGTTCATTTTAATCGCCATATTGATCCACAAAATGCCAGTAAGGGGCATATTAAAAGCCTTTAAAATTCTGAGATTTTCACTTTTTCTTTATCTGTAGGTTCCTTATCCTAGACACAACAATTTTCTTGTGGTATTTATGTTGTCGTCATCTTGAATGGAAAACGGAATCCATAGCTCAGGATTTAGTAGGTAAGTAAAAGTTGAAGTACCATTCCAAATCCTTTTTCTTTTGAACAGCCTCTTAATAATTCCTTTGACAGTTTGCCCTAAGCAAGTAGCAGTTTCTGGTCAGCACGTAAAAAAGATGCAAATTTTATTCAATTTGCTACCATAAAGCAGGTGGATTGGTAAAAATGTTATATAAGTAAGTAAATTTTTGGCCCAGGAAGACTGATGTTTAAAACCTATTGTTCATGTGAATATGTTTTAAGTTACGAACTTACATCCTGCAAAATAATTGGTATGTAATGCTTTCTTTGATGACCACATAAGCTGTTACATAAAAATTCTCAGGAAATACACTTGAAAGATTTCTAGTTTTTTGTCTGCTATATCAGATGTTTTATATCCTCTGAATTTATCACAAAAGGAAAGTAGTTTTTATGCTTAGAAACTTACTTAAAATATGAATTTCTTAAGGTTTCTGCCCCATCTCCTAATCTAAGAAACAGGCATCATAACTACTTAGCTGTAGCTAATTCTATGATATGAACATTGTTTAATATTATAAACTTAATTTGAAAGTGAAAAACCTACTATATGAGTTTCATTCATTTATAGAAGGGACCAAAAAAAATGGAAAAATAAACTATTGGACTAAATCTAAACCAGTTGCCCTTTAAAAATAAGATTAAAGTCATTTTGCCCATGTATTATATTTATATCTTCCCTAGATTATGAAATCATAATGTGCAGAAACGATTTTTCTGTACAACTCTCCCTGTGGTGTTTAGCATACCATATGCAGTTGACCGATTCTTATCAGCAGTGCTTTTGGCAGCATTATGAAATAGTATTCCAAATCTGTAGTCTGCATAGTACAGCAACATGCTTGCATTATTCTGCACAATGAATCATTCTTCCTGTTACCAAAAAAAAACCATGGTTCTTACTCCCCTAAGCAGGATAGTCAAATTGCTTATATCAGTTTTTGCTAAAAAGTGCTGTTTTCTTTTTCTTCCAGTAAGTCATATTTCTTAATGACATACTCTAACTCTATAGACAGGTGGCTTCAGAGGTTTAGAAGTGAAACTTAATGGACTCCAGCTTTATAGGGCATTTTATATCTAAGTTCTACATTCTGAATCATAGTTCTTTCCCTTTAATGCTATAGAAACTTGCTTTTCTAACCTTTGTATTGAGTTCAGACATTTAATAAGAGCTTGTGGTATACAAAAAGCTTTGTTCAAGATGCTGAAGGAAATGCAAGGGGTCATGAATATAATGCACTCTGTTATGGCAGATAAGAAATGCAGGTAAATAAATATAAAATGTAACCCAGGTATATAAGAAAAGTAGAGGGGAAATTATGAGATTTCTGAATGGAGGACATTTCTGTGTGACAAGATTGGGGAAAAAGTACGTGAAGTAAGTGATATTTTTAGTTGGGCCTTCAGAATGGATAGGATTTCAGCCTGTGGATATTGAGGGGGGAACGAGATTCCAAAAAACTGGAAAGCTAAATTGTTGCCAGGTGATGGAAGGCATTGAATGCCACCTTGAAGATTCTGACTTTATTTGGTAGGCTGTGGTGAATTGTTTGGTTCAGTGCAGTTGGAATCCTGTTATCAAGTTGAGTAGATCCATCCAGTCAGCTGTTTTGAACAGTTTTGACGTGTGCTTCAAGAATATATTCTATAAATGAATTTCCACATTGGAGGTATTAATACTCTTACACGATGTTTTAAAGAGTGTAAACTTTAGGTTTTATGATTTACCTCCACTATTTAGTGTTAGGGCAGCTAGGTGGCACAGTGCTGGACTTGAAATCAGGAAGACTCGTCTTTTTGAGTTCAAATTTGGCCACAGGCACTTATTAGCTGTGTGATCCTGGGCAAGTCACTTAACCCTGTTTGCCTCAGTTTCGTTATCTGTAAAGTGAACTGGAGAAGAAAATGCAAACCACTCTAGTGTCTTTGTCAAGAAAATGGGATCACAAAGAATTTGACAAAACTAAACAACAGCATTTAGTGTTAAGATACAGATGCCCTGGGATCTATGATTTTTTCATATCTGTTTTATCTGTATTCACATGTAATATTTTGATTTGTTGGTTTGAGCAAATAATTTTTATTAAAAATAAAGGTATATTCTTACAAAGGCTTATTTCAACAAATTAAGAAGAATGTAATTTAGGTGTTTCCCCCATTGTTTTACTCATTATAAAACCAGGTGTGTTCTCAGAATGATTTTACTTCATGATCAGTTTTGATTTTTTTTTTAAATCCTAAATCACAGGGATTATTTTATCAGAATTTGACTAGAAAGACTCAAGTTCTGACTTGAATCAGTCATATTGGTGGAAGGTACAACCAATTTTTGTTACCAGATCAGGTTTTTAGCTACATATGAAATAGAGCAAGTTATAATTATGAATTATTTATTAGCTAACAGTAATGCACTGAATTCTTTGCAGAACATAAAGTTGGATTATGAAAGAATGTCTTCCCTATTGAATTATTTGATTATTCAAACAGAAATGAGGAAGATTTTAGAGGTTATACAAGAGAGTGAAGATAATAATACCATTTCTAGGAACATCCTATACTATTAATTAGGTTGATACTTGAAAGCATTACCCATGGAAAAAGAAAACCTATCTTTCCTTTTATACCAGATTTTCTTTAGAAGTGTTTTATATTGTAAAGGTAATAGATGCCTTGTTTGCTTCAGGAACCATTTGCAACGTATTCTTATAGACCAAAAACAAAAAATGTATAACCTAAGAAGAAGGTTAGAAGAAAATGCTTCTTTCTCCATTCATATTTTCTTTACCTTTCACTCATCCAATTTTTATCCATTTAGCCACCTATAGGAAACCTAACTGTAGTTTCTCTTTCCTGTTCTGCATATATATAACCTAAGGAAAAAAAATTTGCCAATTCTTAAATAGAAAAAGATAACCTTTCTCTAAAATGGGGTTGAGAGCAAAAACACAGAATAGTGATAGTAGGAACTGAAGCCTGCACAGAGGCTGATTTTAACCTCTTGTCCTTTCAGGATATTTGTTGTTGAGGCTAAGGCTAGGGATTAAAGACAATGTCATGGTAAATTGGGCATGTGACAATTGACCATAGCTGCTTATACAAAGTATAGTGCAGAAGTGGGAATGGGCCCTTTCAGAAATCAGTGTTGAATCCTGTTAAGTTACCTTGTAAAAATTCAAGCAAACAAATCATTAACTTCTTATGGTGATCTGCAAAGATTAATGTGATTTTTGGAAACTAGGTTTCTTGATTGGGAACTGCCAATATGAAAGCTTATTTTGACTTCAAAATAGAGCTCGTGTGGTGGGGCATGTATCATTGCAGACTGCCATTGAGTCAGAGGTAAAGATTTCTTCTGCTGACAGCCTTTATACAATTTGATGTCATTTCAGAGAACCCTTTACAAGTTATGTGCCCAAATCACCTCTCTCCCATCTTCTATCACAGTCAGAATTTTCTTACCTCAAAAATATCCCCAAGTCTCTTTCCCCCCTCTTCTTGAATAGTTAATTCCCTAACACTAATAGCTACCATCTTCTGTTCTTTCCCACTTTTAATAAATCCTCATGAGATACGCTTTTTCTTTGTGTCTTACAGGTTCTTTAGAAGGAAAAAGACATTCATTTGAATCATTCTGTAGGTATCTCTGGATTTCATTTTGGGGAAGTCTAACTTAATAATAAATCATTGATCCAAGTTCAGTTTTATCCTCCTTCCAGTTCATTGCATGACCCAGAACAAGTTCTTTTTGATGTCATTGTTTCCCCATGTGTACAATGAGGATAATAATAATTTGTACTTGCTTATTACCTCATTAGGCTGTTGTGGGAATTAATGAGGTCATGTCTTTGAAATGGAGTTTCTCGGGGGTATAGTGCCAGGCAGGAACATAAGAATTAGCAGTTAATAATCATTTTATAACTTACTGTTTTGTACTTTAACCAGATACCAATGTCATTCCCATTTTAGGTTAATCTATTGAATAAATAGGCTGTTTTGACTATTTCTTGTACATTGCTAATCTTGGGTAGGGTGTGACTACTCTTTGCAGAACCCCTAAATCAAATTGAAATGTGAAATGTGATGTTTTTCAGTATCAAGTCCTATAGGTTCTTATAACTTTCATGTGTTTCCTATATAAAATTAGCATTGCATTATATCATTGAAAGTTAATGACAGTCATTTCCCTTTTCTTTCATTCCCAGTAGTTATGGTTTAGATATTTGTTTTCCTTTTAGGGAATAGCTTTTGTTTATTTGCATGTGCTTGTGTTATTTATGTATATTTCATATATGACTGAGTGTTGAAGCTGGATGCTTCGATTTGAAAGTCAGCATCAGACAACAAGAGACTATGTAGGCTGTCATGACAAAACTGTGTCAGGAACCACAGAAAACAAAAGCAAGATGCATCTTGCAGAAGGGATTTTTTAGTCTCTTTTGCCTGTAGGAATGTTCCACAGTGTAGGAGGAAGGGAATATGGGAAACTAGCTTTTGTAGGCTTTGAATTAGCCCGAGTAAACTCTGGCTAATGAAGGAGACTTGCAACCCAGAGATTATGTCATTTCAACAACTGGGTTTTCAGCATCCCAAAGAGTTCCAAAAACCTGCAGCCAGCCTGCTCCTTCCTTTCATCTTACCCACTGTGCTTCTTACTGGATTTGCATATTTTCCTGATGAGTCTTCTGTAATTCTCAGGTTTTTTCCCCTAGGCTTTTACAGTCCACTTCAGTGTATATATTTGTAATAGTCTAAAGACCAAATAGAGGCAACTAGGTGGCTCATTCAATAGAGCACTGGGGCTGGAGTCAGGAAGACCTGAGTTCAAATGTGGCCTCAGACACTTGATAGCTGTGTGACCCTGAGCAAGTTAGTCAGTTACGTGTCCAGATATCTCTTTCATACCTCCCAGACCCAAACCCCCTTCTCTGGGCCGAGCTTGCCCTATATGTGTTGTGCACCCTAATAGGAGTGTGTAGGCCACAAAAAGAAAGGATTTATTCATACCTAAATATTTAAAGCAGGACTTTTGTCCTGTAACATTTAGCACAATGCCTAGCACATAATAGGCACTTAGATATTTATTGTTTGGTTTTTTTTTTAATTTTATAGTAGCAAAGAACTGGAAACAAATGAAAAGGCCATTGACTGGGGAATGGCTAAATAGGTTGTGGATCATGAATATTACTGTGGTGGATGGAATATTACTGTGTAAATAATAAATATGATAAATGCAGAGAAGCATGGAGAGACTTAAATGGAATGACATAAAGTGAAGTAAATAAAACCAACCAAGGAAGCAATATGCACTTAAAGTAACAACATTGATAGTGAGAAGAATAGCAGTCTAGCCTGGCCTCAATAGAAGGCCCACCCTACCTGTCTTAATTATTCTTTGTTAAGAGGGATAACTTTCTGGGAGGGGAGGGGATCCATTGGGAAAATGTAAGGGATGTTTAAAAAAAAAGTTTTCAGTACCATTTTATTTTTTTTAAAAGAAGAATGTGCTTAGTAAATTTCTTTCATTTTTTTTTCTGCCTTTGTACAGTAACTAATGTGCCAGTCTAATGATATTTATTAGGCACTTACCAGGTATACCAGGTACTGTGCTGGTGCTAGAACACAAAATCAAAAGTAAGAGAGCCCTTTCAACACAAGACACAAAGGATACTGGGAGCCAGGAATAAAGTAAAAGACTAAAAAGAAATCACCCTTGCTCTCAAGGAGGTTACATTTTATTGATATTGACATGTAAATAAGGAGTTTACATTTTATTATGGATGTAGGAAAGTAAATACAAACTATATAAAGATGTAATCATTAGGTGATGTTTATGTGCAAAGTACTTTCCATAATTACTCTAGTGGTCTTAATCTGGTGCAAATTTATACTCTTAATATCAGTGTAACAGTTTCAGACACATTAAAACTATTAGACACAAAGCGCTTTTTCAAAAAACTTAGCATTTTTGTAGGGACAACAAGGTAGGGTAAAATACATAAGTCTAAAAAGGGGAAGAAGGAAGAAGTGATTCTGGACTTTATTATAGTTTATGTATAGTTTCCAGGGAGACTTGATAATTGTTTCCAGAGGTGCATAACTGCAATATCTAGGTTGGGGTAAAGTAGGTAAGGATTGGATTGAGTAAAACCATTATCTTTAAGGTGGTACATTCATAGGCTCTAGAAGATGATGTTCTGTTTTGTTTTTTAAATTTGGTCTCTTTTATTTTTACATCGCCTTTATTTCAAAATATATTCTCCAAGCCAGTGAACCATCACTTATAACAAAATAAAAAAGAAAGAAGGGGGAAAAAAGCAATTCAGCCAAACTAGTCAACATATCAGCCAAATGTGGCCATATAGGGGATGCTACACACCCATAAACCCACACCCCCATCTCTGCAAAGAAGAGAGGGAGGTGCATTTTCTCATCTTTTCTTCTGGGCTGAGCCCAGTTGTTATAATTACACAGATTCAGTCTCAGGTTTTTGGTCTTTCCATTTACATTGTCGTCCTTGTGTATATGCTTTCCTGGTTCTTGCTATACTTTGTGTACATTTATGTAAGTCTTTCCATGCTTCTCTAAACGAATAGGGTCATATTTTTCCTGTAAGTGTGTTTTAACTTTTCGGCCTTGCATTCAGAAACAGGGACTCATTCTTCAGCAGAGGTATAAATAAGAGCTCTGTTTAGTTAACCTCGTATAACTGGCCTGCTGCTTTGTCACTAATTGTGTCACATATAAATCACCTTTAAGGGTGGTTTCAGATGGAACTGATTTCAAGTCTTATGCAAGAGATAGAGAATGTTGTAATTGCTAAGAGAAAGGCATAAAATAGCATGTGTTTCATAGATTCAGGGATTAAATATGGAATTGTTTATACCTTTAGGAAGTAGGTACCACATTTTCTTCTCTTGGACTTTGTTAAAGAACACTGTTTCCTCACTGTTTTCTGGTTTGCAGCTGAACTAGAGTAGATCTAGACTTTTGGAGACCTAGAAGTAATTTAGTCTGAACCTCCACCCAATGCAAATACTTTCTAATATCCTTTCTTTGTAGCCAGACTTGATCATTATAATTTTGTTTCATTTGCTTTGTTCTTAGAAACATTTAGATTGTTGTAGTGGTCATCCATATTGTTTTGCTGGTTCTGTAATTCATGCGTCAAGGACATCCTTGATAAAAGAATGAAATGGCAGCAGGCAGACTTTTCACAATTACATCTATAGCACACTTTTATCTTTAAACCCATCTAACTGATAGAAAGATGCACAGAATACAAAATTTCCTTGTTTATTTTTTATCAACTTTTTAAAAGCATTGAACTTGGTAGAACAAAGTGCAGTTTTAACAGCTAGCTTCCAACAAGTTTTCTCTCATGGATATGTAAAGATCGTGTGATTATAGATTCACAGCTTAAAGATGCCTTGTAGTTCAACCCCATCCCCATCCTCCCTTCATTTCACAGAAGATTTGAGCTTGGAGAGGTTGTGATTTGTCCAGGGTTACACAGGTAGTAATTGGCTGAACTAGGAATTAAATGGAAGTCCTCTGCTCTAAATCCAGTACTCTTTAAAAGTATTACACCATACTGTTTCCATCAATCACATAAATTCCTTGAAAGATAGAATAAGATAGTGTTGTTTGGTGGTCCTCTTGCTATGAATATTAAACTAGGCATAAAAAAACAAGGAAATATGTGCTCGTCCAAAGTGTTTTCCACTGTTGTGGAGGATGTCCATTTTGTAATAGAAGGTGAATTCCCTGTAGATAATAAAAGTTCTTCATAATCTTTTTCTGAATGATGTTATTATGATTATAACAAACTCAAAAATGTTGAACAGGGTCTCAAATTATAAACCCTTGAGTTCAATCTAATAATCCATATAGGAAAACAGAAAGTGGGAAGAGTGCCTATTGCCCAGATTGTAGTATGGAGTTAGTTGGACAGTGTAGAACTGGCCTGTTGGTACCCAGCATATACAGGGAGATCCTAAGTTGGGCCCAGAATTAAGAGGAAGAGAGTGTTTTAGGTTTACATTTGGGAAATTATTGATGCTTATGATTTGTGGATATGTCTATAAATGTATGAATATTTTTCTGTGACTGCTCATTTGCTTTTGTACAAGTAAAACTTTGTTTACTATTTTGGCAGTATTTGGGGTAGTGGGGGGGGGAGTGTTTTGTTATGGAAATAGACCTTTACCATTGAAATAAGCTCAAGTGGAAATAATCATGCTAATCATCCTACTTTTCTTTTCTGTTTTTAGATCCTTCACTGTTTTCTCAGGTGATCCTGCTTCTTTTATGTAACTGCAGTCCTTGGTCTTGACATGTGGATCTATCTCCTCTCTACTTAACTCCATGGACCAGAATGGAAAAAATTTCTTCACTTCATGTTCCACTTCTCAAATACAGCACATTTAGCTTGTTAGGTGGCTTCTTCCTTGGTGCCATTTAGCTGGCATCATGCCAATTCATCCAGGAAAAAAGAGGCAATTGATGTTGGTACTCAGCAGCAGAGAGAAAGGATTTTTTTTTCAAATGAAGCATAATATTTAGATTGCTGTCAGGCGTTTATATAAAGCTTTTCAAGAATACACAGTAAGAAGTCAAAATGTGTGCTGGGGCTATTTGTATCCTGTTTGAACTAGCATAAAATTACACATATGCATAATTACAGCAGAAAATCTTATATTTCAATACAAGAAAGTACATTTCAGATCTGAATCCTAATTAATTCCATTACACAGATTTCTTAATCCAGAACAAAGGGCCAACTTTGTAGATACTCCTGTGATGTGGTGGTAAGTAAAGCAGCTTATGTACAGTACAATGTCCCTGCATTTTTTATGTGTATGAAGAAAACATGTTCTTTGAACCAAGATATTTCTGCATGGGTATATCCACATTTATCAGTGAGAAGAAAGATTTCTTCCAAGAACAAAGTCTGGCTGCATTGCCTCTTCCCCTGGTGACACTTGGTTGCTTCATACCATTTTAAGATGTTTTTCCATTTTCACAAGAAAGGAGCAGGTTGTACAGAAACAGACCTCATGAATGCATTCCTGGGTCCATTGGAAAACAGTTTTCATTGACTTTTGACTAAACAAAGAACAAAAAGTTTTGATGTTAACAAGAATGGGGGCTCTCTTGTGCATATATATGGCTTGCTGTCACCTTTTTTCCTTGTGGAGTGTTACGGGACATTCTGGAGTTGGCTTTTCATACTTTTGTGCCCAAGAGTGAAGTGGAACAAGGCATCTGCATTGGATACTCAGAATACCAGATCAAACCTATAGTTGGCTATGAATATGGCAGAATGGAAAAAGAGTGGGAGTAGAAAAGAAAATTTTTTTCCCCATACAACTTCAGCCTGAGAGACAAAAAGCAGAAATACTTTGTGTGGCTTGATTGGACTGACATATTTACATGACATTCTGTATCTTCATCCCTTGCAGTGTCATGGGAACATTATCCTTCAATTCAAGATGGCTATGAGAGTGATATCCATGGGTGAAACTGAAGCATCCCACCAGAGAGTGGGCCTCAATATAATGTCCATCAGCGTTGGCTTGAGGCAAGGTGAACTGAGATCTGGAAGAAATTTAGCAATTACATTCCATCCCCCATCCTCCCTGGCCCCCCCCAAATTTCACAAAGTAGTTTCATATCTAGATTAGGCAACAAATATGGAATAGCTTGTTTTCCTCTTAATAAGGGGGAAAAACCCAACACTACCCTTGGGAGCTGAAATCCTTCCTTGCTCCTGTACCTGAGATGCACAGCAGAGTTTGGGATGACATGTTACTAGTAGAGGAGAACATCTACCCTCTTTTATTTGTTATCTTACATTACTAGAGAAATCAATGTAAAACTTGTCAAATATTAAGACCATACATTGCATCTTTGTGTTTCTGGGAATGTGCACATCCAGAGCCCTGTTATGATGCTGGAGTAAAGATAAACAGCCTGGATTTGGACTGCTGTGCCCAAGTAGAATTTTGTTAAAGACAAGAATTGCCAAAATGGAAAGTTATTCTTTGATGAATAGTAGTTCTTAGCCAATGGGAGTATCTTTTCGGGGAAAAAAGATTTAGATAAAGTATGATTTTAAAAGGGTAATAATTAAGATTGGCTAGCAGTAAAGTACACCATTCTCAAAGTCTTGGTGCAGTTTTAAGTTTTAATAGCTTAAAGCTCTAAGACTTTTGGGATACCATGTATAAGTTAGTCATGTCTTTTGAAAGTTGTGTGTTTATAGTAGTTAGAAATCTTTTACTTCAGTTAGTCAGACCTCCCAGTCATTTGTTTGTTTTTTCATTTGTTACTACTACTCTAAAGATAAAGACCAGTGTTGTTGGGGAAACTCCTTACTAAAGGGGTCACTACGGGTGCCACCAAGATGTTGAGAAAGATTTTAAATCTTGTTTCTCTGCCATTCCCTTTAATGTCTTATTATTGGTAGCCTTTCCGGCAGGCAGCAGGGCCATCCTATTCTCCTTACCTCTTCTGTCAAACTTACAAAGAAATCCATTCTGGCCCATTGGTGCTTCAGGCATCAGATTTACTTTTTTAGATTCCTTAAGAGTTCTGTGAATTCATAGCCAATAAGTTAACTGTTTAATGTTTCCCTTAAATATGCTCCTGCCTTATTTACAACTGTCACAAAATCTCATTACAACTAAAATTTGGTCATGATCAGTTGTTTCAGCCTTATGCTCTCTTAAGACACCCTCTTTATTTCTTTTCTGCCTGTCTTTCTGCAGTTTCCTTCCTGGCTGTAGTTTTAGGCAGCACAGTCTATGACCTATTGCTAAACCTTCTTTTCTTCCAGTCCTCCTTGTTGGTTGGAAATTTTCATTTTTGAAAAGTTAAAACAAATAAACAAGGGATATGTGCAATAATTATATATATATATATATATATATATATATATATATATATATATATATATACATATATATATATATATATACACACACACACACATATATTTTAATACTTGTGGACAAAATAATGTTACAAGTTGTTTGAGAACAACAAAATCACCAATGTCTTCCATTTTGATAATATGTATAGTTTCATAAGCATTAATGCTTTGTAGCAAAATGTAGTGCCATGTTAGGGGCCAGTGCATGAGCCTAGTAGTAATTTTAGAATTAAAAATTAATTCTTTATAATAATAACCAATAGTATAACAAAAAATGGAAAATATAAAAATTTCCTTTTTTCTTAAAATTCTGAACCTGTATCTTCTCCTTGGGGAAAAGTGACAGACTAAAAGGGCTAGTTTAGAAATAGAGTGATTTTGGGCCTTGAAGAATATGCTTGGAGATGTTTTGACTTCACATAATGTGGCTGTATTCTAAACCTAATGTGACTGTGTCCAATCTGAACCACACACTAAACTATAGACAACCATCCCCCACCCACACTCCCTCCAAGGTAGTTCTCCTGTATTGTGTTTTTGTGTGAACTAAAATTATTCTTCCTGTGTCCTTATATGGGTATATCTTATAGCTTAATCCTGTTTCATTTCCGTATGTAGACATTCTCTGTATCAAGGAACCACAGTACAATTTAAATATCTTAATCAGATACTCTTGTCAGCCTCACATGAAGTACTCTGTTAACTTAAGGGTAGTCTGTAGACTGTTTTACATTTCCTGTCTGCAGGTCACTGTCTCTGTGTTGTGTCAAGAAACCCTTGTAAATGTTAGAGAGAGTCAAAGTATTTAAGGCTGTCCCCACTTAATCCACTGTGGGGTTTGGTTTTGTTTTTTAATGTGGTTTTCTTGCTGCTACTTTTGCTTGATTTACATTTTGAGAATTGGATGTTTAGGTAGATAGAATCTTGATAGGTCGCCACATTAGTGAAAAGGAAAGGAAAGCATTTGCTTATGTTGGCAGTATGCAGTTTAAAGCTATATCTTTCAGACTTGTACATGTCCCCTTTTCCCTGCCTTCCCAGAAGAAGTAAACAGTTATGTCACTCATAGGATAGTTCATCTTTCTCTGGTAAAGCAATTCCTGTCTTCCTTGAGAAATTGGACCAGGTGGTTTTTCTGAAGTGATTTGAGGGTCCAAGACTCAGATGATCCAGGTTTTATAAAACATGGACTCTACAAATAGTTAAAAATGTGAGAGTGTACAACACTGCATGAGCGAACAGCTTGGAGTAAGTAGGCCCTTTTGTAGCAGTTCTCTAGGGACCAGGTTCAGGTTCTCTTAGTCTGGACTCAAGTAGTTATACCTTTGATTCAAACAGTATAGTGCTTAGGAGAATCCGTTTCAAAAAGAAAAAAAATACCTCTGAAACAGGAATGCAAAATAGCACAGTATGCAGGGGGAATGCCCCTGATGCAAACAAAGCCATAAAATGATTTAATAATTTTTAAAGGATAAAACTTTAGTAGCAATAACTGTTTTGCATGTATTAGTAACTAACTTGAATTAGTAAACCTGTTTAGTAAAGTAAGTTACCACTCAAGTTTGTGGTACGTGGTGCTCAGTCCTTGACAGAGCTGCGTGAAAGGAAACATGTTTTAGGTAGATGATATACATAAAAGATGCTGTTTTCCTTCCTTTGAAAAGAGGTGTGTGTGTGTGTGTGTGTGTGTGTTTATGTATGTGTGTGTTAGGGAGAGAGAGAGAGAGCCATTTCCATGCGTGAGGCTAAAAGCCCCATTTGTTTTCCCAGGTAGCAGGAGGGAGCTGTTGAAGTGAACTCTTTCTGGGAGACAAAGTGGAGTCTCACCAATGCATTCCAAGTAGATCTTCTACTTGAGCCTTTACTTTGAGGACAGCTCCTCTATAACAGAGATTTTTTTTTTCTCATTTTGTTTGCATTTTCCGTATTTGTGGTTAAGAAAGCTCTTGGTAACACGTGTGAGAAAGACTTTATGTATGTGAATTTCTCTTTTTTTGTTTTTGACCATATTCTTAATGGAGGAGTGGCCAGAGCTGTGGCCTTTGACAGTTTGTCCTCCAGTATAGAAAACCATTCCACCTCCTGGAGCACTGTCCCAGTTTACAAGCCAAGACAGAGCAGTGGGGACCGAGACAATTTTTCTATTGTCTCATACTACCTGTACATGTGGATAATTCATCCTGGCCATCTAGTGCCTGGCAAATGAGTACGTCTCTGCATAAGCTGGCCATAAATTCCCTTGGTTCATGTTGTTCAATTATATGCCTCTGTGTGAACCCAGGAGAAAAGATACAGGGTAGATGGGGCAAAGCCAAGAAAGTCATGTCTTTGAAGACTCCTTACAGAATAACCAACCATCCCTCAGCTCACAAAAGAGAACGCACTACATTCGGTTCCTTTTGGTCTGTCTTCAGTGTGTACCGCAGTGTCACCATTGGACACATTGGACTGCCCAGGTAATTTTGAGATACCTGGCTTGGTCACAGGTGTACACTTAGGCCATATAAAGGACTTTGTAGAACAGCCACATTAAATATAGATTTAAATGTTAAAATTGACCAGATGCATCCAGTGCATGGAGGGTATCCAGATAAGCTTATTATATTCAAGGGTGTAGGTAGGCATCATCCTTTTGTGTAGGTTTCACACTGATGGCCGAGCTCTTATTAAATATGAAGTATGCACTTACAGTATGCTAGGCACTATGCAAAATAGGGTGAGGTCTTTGCCCTCAAGGAGTTTACATTCTCTTGGTGCTGCTGGTAAAGGCAAATGGCATCTAGTTTGTTTAGAACATGCTTGACTTAGAATAATCTCGGCCCAAAGGATCACTTGTCACAACAGTTTTTAGGAGAGGGCAACACCAAATTTTAAGGCATTGAAGATTTAACTAATTTACATTGTACTAGCTATGCTATTAATATATTTTTCCAGGGTTTGTGTGGGGTGAGAGGGTAAGGAGTGACGTATAGGTAATTTTCTTCAGTGTTAGTAAAAGAAACCACTTTATTCAATAGGGTCTCCACAATATACCACCATTGTCTTTTCATGGTGTACCCATCACAAAGTTGGCCAGAAAAAACCATAATAGATAAGGCTCTTATTTCTGCTACCATATCATTTCCACCCTTAATAGAATAGATTTGCATACCAGTCTCCCCTGTACCGGTGTGAAATGATCCTAAATTTTACCTTTTTATTTGCTGGGTTTGTACTTCCATTCAAAAGCATCATAGGAATAGACATGTAGAGAATTTAATTAAAATAGTCATTTCTTTTTCCTAAAAGTTTCCAGTTTTCTCCCTTTCAGTTGCAATATTTCAACGAAAATAAATTGCATGCACCCTAGCTAAGCCTCATAATCCCTCTGAATCAAGAGGTTTTGTTTTGCATGAACTTGGGTCTGATTGAGAGGCCTTAGGTAAAAATGCATGCTGATCATATAAGCAATAGTAGCACAAATCCTAGTCCTGTAGAGCTAGAGTCCTAATTATGCATGATTGAAAATGTCTAGTGTCATATAATTACTAAAAAGCTGATATATGCATTTATATATAACAAAGCAATAGTAACTATTAAACAGATAGCTTGAATTTACTGCTTGAAACCTCAGTTCTTGTTTCTCTTAAAAAGATGGTTTGCCTCTATCAATAAAGGGAGGTTAGATAAGAAAACAGGGACAGCAGCATGACACTTCAGCTGTTTGGAAGAGGGAGTAGCAGAACTTGCCCTTCGTTTTACTCTTACCTGGTTTATATTAGTACCTTAAGCATGTGGTTTTTTAAATAACAGGGCGCGAACTAAGAAGCATGTTGTATCAATGAATGATTTCTTAGTTGCCTCAACTGTAGCAATCAGAAAGGTGCAGAGTTTCAGAAAGAATTGAGAGGGTAAGTGAGGCCCAACTGTACATAGAAAGTAATAACTGGGTCTTTTAAACACGGCAAAAGTAGCCTGAGTGTAAGCCCAGTAAAACTAGTCCTTTGGAGGTGAATAAAATCAATAAGCACAGTGCACACATTTCAGGTGTTCAGTAGCTTTTTAATACAGTATTTTTAGGTGATTTTAGCCACTTAGGCAGCTGTACTGAATTGTACTGGTGTCTACCAGCAATAATGGCTCCCTGCAGCAAAGGAGACTTCCACTTTGCAGGAATTGACCTGAAAATATTGTTATATGTGTGATTTTATTTCTCTTTAGTTGTTATATTGATGTACTTTTTAATATATGTGACTTGAAATAGATTTTTAGAGCCAGAGACACAAAATTATTTACCCTTAATGGTCTGATCAGTCAGTCCAGTTAAGCTCCATAAAGAACTCTTGCCCCTCAAGGTGAATTTATACATCCTCATTTCATTAAATAGATTTGCCACTAACTTCTTTATTTGGGGAGAAAAAAAATTAGATGCTCTTTAATTCATTTTAACACTTCAGAATGTTGGGGAATAAAGATTCTTGTGGGGCTTTTGTTGTAACCCCTAGAAGCATATGTGGTAATAGCAAACA